ACAATGACAATGAATTTATTCTCATAAACTGACATTAAGTACAGTGTAGAGACAGATTACAAATATAGTTAAACATATGTGCATGCGTGAAACAGAAAAAGTACAAAGTCAAAAAACTAACAATGACCTAACCAGGAGAGCCAACTCTCTCACAGATAATTTTTATAAATTTACACAGTTTTATCAATTTAACTGTATTTTTTGTATTAAAAAGTTGATCAAACTTATACACATTTGGATATAAATAGTAATACTTTGATATTAATGATAATCTTGATTTCAGAATAAATGGATCATTACAATTGAATAAGTAATGATATTCATCACCAATTTCATTTTTTGAACATACCTTACAAATTCTATTCTCTCTTGGTACATTTTGCCATCTCCCAACTTCAATCGGCAATTTATTATTACAAGTTCTAAACCTACATAATAATTTCCAGTACTTACAAGGCAAAGATACTAAATACTTTTCTAAACAAAATGAAGTTTTATATATTCTGTAATTAAGACCTTTAGGTGAATTAAACATTTCACTGTACCATGACTGTTTAAACTGATCATACAGAGTGTTAAAAACTACTTTCTTCAGCCAAGATACATGCACTGGTTGGCAAGTTTGCCAGATATAAGAAAGCCCACATTCATTCAGTATAGATTTGATAAAGTTACACCATGGGTTATTGTAGTTCTTCAAAACAATTAACAGATTTGATGATAATTTATCACCTTGTAAAAGAGATAATTTACACCAAAAACTTATCATTCTTACCTTAATATTAATTGAAATAGGGTATCTACCTAATTCACCGTATACATGTACCATAAAATTTGGTGTAGATGATTTTACATGTAAAATATGTTTACAAAATTTTAAATGCAACTTTTCAACTAATGGTGACTGATTATAACCCCATACTTCACATCCATATAAAAATACAGGCTTTACAATTTTGTCAAACATATCTAATGTACATTCTACAGTAAGGTTGTGTTTTCTACATTTTCCTATAACACCATACATAGCTTTTGTTGCTTTTTGAAATAATTCCTTAATATTTGTATTAAATGAACCATTTTTACAAAAATTTACACCTAAATATTTAAAATTATCAATAATTTCTAATATATTACCATTTAATGTAAATGGTTTTTCAATTCTTGGATTGCCTTTTCCAAAGATAACAACCTTAGTTTTATTAGTGTTAACTTTCAGATGCCATTGTTTACAATAATTGTTAAAAATATTCAGTTGGTGTTGAAGATCTTCTGGTGTTTCTGAGAGAAGAATTGTGTCATCAGCATATAACAAAACAAACAATCTAAGATACAAATCAAACTCTTTTTCTAATTTGGCAGATATAAATGATAAACCTTTTACGTTATTTGAGTACATGAAGTCTTCAAGATCATTTAGATATATTGCAAACAGAAATGGGGATAGATTTTCCCCTTGTCTGACACCTACAGTGCAAGGAAAAGGTTCAGAATATACATGTAGACCGTTTGAGACAACTCTAGATTTAATGCTTTTATACATCTGTGTAATAACATTGAAGCATTTACCATCTATATTATTTAATAGTATTTTGTTCCAAAGTCCTACACGCCTAACAGAATCAAAAGCTTTCTCAAAATCAATAAAAGCACAATACAACCCTTTCCTATGATATTTTGATATTTCAATCAATGCATACAAAGTAAAGATGTGGTCCAGAGTAGAATAGTTTTTTCTAAAACCAGCTTGATTTTTTTAAAATAAGGTGGACAGTATTTGCATAATGATTGAGTCTCTCATTCAGAATGGATGTAAACAATTTACCCAAGCAGCTTATCAAAGTAATGGGTCTATAATTTTTAGGATCTGTAGAGTCACCTTTGTTTTTATATAAAGGGATAATATTACCAAATGTCCAGTGAGAAGGTATGATTCCTGAGTCAAATATTTTGTTAAATAATATTACAAAAAGTTTGACAGAGTATCTACAGTGGATTTAATATATTCGTTAACAATGTTGTCATGGCCACTTGACTTATTATTTTTCAGAGCACATATGCATTTTGTAATTTCTTCATGTGTGATTGGTTGATTTATACTGTTATTAAGTTCTAAATTTGATAACAATTTTAATTCTTCTTCAGGCAAAACATGTTCACTTTCTCCCTCTATTCCCATGTTACAACAATCTTTATAAAAATTATATAGTTCAGACAATTCTACATTACAACATTTATTAGTTCCATCAGAATTTAATATTTTCCAATATTCTTTTGGATTGTATGATCTTAGATATTGTAATCTCCTTTTCATATCTTTCCTATGAAAATTTCGAGCAGATTTTAATTTTTGTTTGTACAACTTTTCCTTTTCATACAAATCTTCCTTGAGAATGTTACCACCAAATCGTTTAAACAATTGTCTTGCTTTTTTAAAATTCTGTCTAGCAAATTTGCAGTCTTTTGTGAACCATGGTTTTTTAAAGATAAACTTTTTCTTCACCTGAGGAAAAATATTTTGTTTATAGACACCAAAAACTTCCTTAGCACTTCCAACTAAAACTTCACCAGCTTTTTCAACAATATTATCAATAAAATCTAAAGAAATTTCATTACAGTTTAAAAGTTCATCTTCTAAACTTTCAATTTTACTAGCTTTATTTTCAACACAGTTTTGGTAAATTGCTTTCTCATCACTATTCCACCTCTTAGCTTTTTCTGATTGATTATTACAATCATATGGGATATTTTCTATAGTTGGATTCATTGGTTCAGGATACATTCTCATTTTTACCATTATTGGATTATGCACATCTGAGTACAATGTAGAAAATGGTAAAACACAAATTTCTGAAACATGTTTGATAAAGTTAATATTTGCAATGCAGTAGTCTACTATACTGCAGTTTTTGCAAGTGAATTCACCATTTACATCTGTGTTACATCTTCCATTTAGTATGAAAATATTACAATTTTTGCACAAAGTTAACAATTTTTTACCAAATTGGTTTAATGTTTTCTCTTTTGACTTTCTATTAACAGATAATCCGTATTTTTCAAGGTTTGAAACATCACATGAATCACTAAGAAAAATATTTTCATCAATTATGTCATTTGAAAATGAATGATCATTATTATGAGAATTGATATTTTCAAAAAAATCTTTCTCCATAGCAACCCTACTATTAAAATCGCCGATTAGACAAATGCTACCAGAACTTTCAATAAAATAACATGTTTCTCTTTCTATTTCATCAAAAATATCTATTGTAGAAAACCGAGAATTTATGGGTGGGATGTAAACAGTACCAATAATTACATTATTTTGGAAATTAAAAGCTTTCCCTAATAATCTTATCCACAATACATGTTCACATTCATTTTCTATTATAGTAACATATTTAGAATAAATATCTCTAACATATACAACAATCCCACCTGATTTTCTAGAGGACAATGATAATCTGTGTTTACAAAAGGCATTAAAATTTCTAATTTCTATATTATCAGCTTATAAACCAAATTCATAGTTTGTGCAACTCGCGGTTCTATATGCACAATTTATCTCTAGTCGTATTCACAAAAAACTTGGACTTCTAAAGAAACTTAAATTTTCAGTGTCTAGAGATACTCTATCCAAAATTTACGTTTCCTTTATTCGACCACAACTTGAGTATGCATCTGAAGTTTGGTCAGGCTGTTCGTTTGCAGATATTGAAAAACTTGAAAAGGTTCAGTTGAGCGCTGCAAGAATTGTGACAGGTCTGTCAGTATTAGCGTCAAGAAACTCGTTGTATGTTGAAACAGGATGGGAACCTCTTATAATAAGAAGGGATAAAGCTAAACTTTTAACAATGTTTAAAATCCACAATAACCTAGTTCCTGGTTATTTAAAAAATATAGTACCAGTAGTTAGAAAAAGTGTTTCAAATTATAATACTCGTAATTCAAGTAATTATTTTTTACCGAAGTGCAGGCTTGAATTACTAAATAAGTCATTTGTCCCTGATACTATTCGCAAATGGAATTCATTGAGTAACGAAACAAGGGAAATAACTTCAATAGAAATTTTTAAAAGAAAATTGAATAATAATAATGACAAGCCTCCCAAGTATCTATCATACGGCAAAAGGTATTTGAACATTTTACATACAAGATTAAGGCACAATTGTATTTTAAATCATGACTTGTATAGATGTAACATTATAACGAATCCAAATTGTTCTTGTGGATATAAGGAGGATAGTCATCATTATTTCTTTGTGTGTAGAAAATATCTTGAAGCTAGACGTTTAATGTTGAATGCATTACTTGTAATTAATAATGTAAAAATGTTAAATGTGCATAAACTGCTATGGGGAGATGAATCATTATCTTTGCAGGAAAATGAAAAAAATATTTGTTATTGTTCAAAAATTTATTCAGGATACTGGTCGTTTCAATTAACACTTACATGTACTTGTATTTACTACTTTTTGAAACTATTTTAATATGGTTATTGACGTCATTATAATCATCATTATATCAACTGATATTCCTAAGCAATAATAATTATTGTCTTTGTTCTTCTACATTCATGTATAATATTGTAAAATTGTAAATCTTTGTAAATGTTGTATGGCTATTAAGATTTTATGTATGGGAGAGGACTATCTAAGTTTTTAGAACTTGTGTCCAATCCCTTTGACACATTGTCAATAAAATATGTTCAAAACAGTCGTATTCACAAGATCACTCCTCGTAACGACGAAAAAGAATTATCTCGCAATTACGAGATAATTTTCTCGCAATCTCAAGGTAATTTTCTCGTAATTTCGGAGAGGAGGGTAGGGAGACCGAGACGAACCTGGAAAAGATCTATAGAAGTAGAGACAAATGAGGCAGGATTTACCTGGCTCCACTTGGAGAATGCAGCCCAAAAGAGAGTCCAATGGTGAGGTGTGGTTGAGGTTCTGTGCTTCCGATTGAGTAAACAGGAATGAGTCAAAGAAAGTCAAGTATCTCGTAATTACGAAATTTATTCTCGAAATCACGAGATAATTTTCTCGTATTTATAAGTTCTCCAATAAAATAAAGATGATTATAATTATTTGCAATTCATGTAAAGAGCTCTCAGCCATCACCATTCACACGTATTTATTGAAATAGGAAAATTTAAAAAAAAATCTAATAATACAGTAAGAGATAAATTTGCAGGTTATAGTTATTAATTACAGCAATAAATGTATTTTATATTTACATGATATTGCGTAACTTTTCAAATGACACCAACAGGAATAATGCAGATCATGGATACATGTATATAGTCCAATTCAGTCTTACAAAACAGAATATGAAACATTTCTGCCAGGGTACTTTGTAATATTCTATTATACAACGTCCTGAAAAAAGAAAATAATCAAAATATCAAAATTTATATTCATGAATTAAGAGGATGAAAATTTTACTTTTGTTTTCACTTAAGGACAAGATTTGAATTTAATTTTTTTTTGCAAGTCTATTTCAAATGGACATCATCTAATGTTTAACGGAAATGTTTGCCCTCTATCGGCTGTTTGAGTTTGAAAACACATCATTTTATCGCATATTAAGATCTATTCGTTTTTCTGAATAATCAGGGAGTGGTCGGGTCTTTTACACGATTGTTCAATATAAGGAACGATACAAAATATAAACAAGTGGCCCTTAGGCCACAACGCTCACCTGAGCCAATATATGGCCCTGTTGCTCTTCATAAGCATTTTTTTTTTCGATTATAACTTCCAATGTAAAAATTTGACCCTACCCTATCCCGAGGTGTCATGATTTGAACAAACTTGGATCTACACTAACTGAGGATCCTTCCATATCAATATGATTAATCAAGGCTTTCCTGTTCTTAAGGAAAAGATTTTTAACGATTTTTTTCCAATTAATTCCCATGTATAACTTTGATCCCCCAGTGTGGCCCCATTCTATCCCTGGGAGTCATATTTGAACAAAATTGAATGTACACTACCTGAGGATGCTTCCATATCAATATTACTAATCATGCCTTTGCTGTTCTTGAAAGATTTTAATTTTCGTATATATTGCTATGTAAAAGTTTGATCCCCCATTGTGGTTCTTGAGAACATTTTTATAAGATGTCACAAAATTTTCACTAATTCTTAATTACTAGTATTTCCTCTTGAAATAGGACGTCGCCTTTCATTTGAACAAACTTGAATCCCCTTTACTCACGGATGCTTTGTGGAAAGTTTTGTTGAAACTGGCCCAGTGGTTCTGGAGAAGTATTCAAAAATCTGAAAAGTTTACAGACGGACGGACGACAGACAAAATGTGATCAGAAAAGCTCATTTGAGCCTTCGGCTCAGGTGAGCTAAAAAAGAAATGCACATACATTATATATATTTAACAAAGCAATTTAAAAGTTTATACCCCTGATATAAAATCCTATGCTACTTTAGCCCCCTTTCCAGTTCCATTTTCATCTCCAAGCAGGAGAGACAACAATGGCGACCCCAGTGCGAACAGAAGAGCTCAGCCTCAGTGACGTCATACAGTCTTCTGTAGAACGAACAATTCTCGTCACCGATCTGTTTATCTAAACAGGCATAGTTACCTGGGGAGACAGTTAAAAAATAAGGTAATTCGTGAATGTTTCAAACGTTTTCTTAATTCCATATACACGAGCTCAAATAAATAAGTATGTGCAAGAAATAAAGATTCTTCCAGAACTCTCGAAACTGAAGTAAGACAACCAAAATTAAGAATAAACTTACTTTTGATATTTTGAAGGGAAAAAAAAAATATAATTATACACTTCTCATGGAAAGCATTCTGTCTAAGAGGGGCGAAACTTTCTTTTCAAAGATATGTGATGACTTTATACAAGAATTTTGAAAAAAAGACACTCTCAAAAGGTACCCCAAAAATAATGCTTTCAATACAGAAGTTTGAAGAAAGCGTGAACAATTTGATTGAGACATTCTTGATTAATGACAAAAGGAAAATGAAACGAACAAACAGTATAGACAATCTTGTAAAATATTTGTGATGAACAAATTTCTTGAATGATTCTCACACAGCTTGCAGATGCATTCTTCTAGAGCATATTTTAAATGTACATGAAATGAATTCAAACTCTTAATAAAAATACTTTTTAATGCAACGAATTTTGCCTTACAAAACACATATAAACAGACACTTTTAAACTGTCAATTATACATTCTGTACATTACCTATTTGAGGAGCTGACACTACTACCTCCAAACAGACTAGACACGCCCACACACCAATGTATAACTTCATTGCTAGAAAGCTACAAACTTCTCTCTCAGTTCCTGTGAAGGTGGGGTTAATTGGTCCTCATTCTTTATGCAGATAACACAGTCGCTGATTGTCAATGACCCACATTCCTTGAATTTCATTTCACGTGTTACTTTTGAATTTTTATGCAAATCTTGTAACATAATTAATCAGTTTGTCTGTTTGAGTTTCCTTAGAGAACAGTTTTTTTTGTTTGTGTGCGTAAATCTTGCTGTGGGATTCTCCTCTTTACGTGCTCTCTGTCGTCATTTCAGATCTAACACATTTGTGGTATTTCTTAACCGTGGTTTTATAGCAAAAAGAAAGGTATGATGTTCCGATTGGACCAGTCACCTTGAGGGTGAAAGCGAAAGTGCGAAGCAGCAAAAATTGAGTACAAGGATGCGAAAGAATTACTTCTCCTTAGTATTCGCAAAAATCGCTTTGTGTCTACCTACACTTACACTAATTTGAGTTCGAAACTTGCATCTTCACCCTATTAGACAAAATATTAGGTGCATCCTGTATTTTAAAAAATGTTGCAAATATTTTCATAAAGCTTTTTAGTACAACTTTTAATAGTACTTGATTTTTGTTAATTTTTCAGGACTGTAGCGCGGGGTAGGGTTAGATTGGGGCCATGTTTTCGATTGATTCTATTTAAACTCATTTTTCTCTAAAATTATGGGGCATCTTGAGAAAGCCCCTACCCCCTCCTCTTACATTTTGAGTGACCCTTTTGCAAATGCCTTCTCCTTTCATTATCCCTGCTACGAGCCTGTAATTTCCACTTCTAGAGTTTGAACAATGAAATGCAATTAAATTATGACCATCTTTATACATACATACATACATACATACATACATACATACATATATATATATATATATATATATATATATATATATATATATATATATATATATATATATATATATATATATATATATATGTGTGTGTGTGTGTGTGTGTGTGTGTGTGTGTGTGTGATTGAGTCACACACAAGTGCTCTGCAAAACACATTGAGAGATGAAAACTTTAAATTCAATGTTTAATTAATAAAACGTCATTCGGAAATTTATCCATTTTAGCGCCGCAAGACTCCCTCTTCAACAAGCACATACGTGCAACAAAACTTCTGAGGGTGAAGATTGGGATGGCCTTAGCCTTCGCAAATTCGACTTTAAAAAAAGTGCATATACGAAGATGCAATTGGATCCATCGGAACACCATACATCATAAGTATAATGAATAAATCTGTCAATGGATTGTTTATAGATTGTGGTCTAATATTTGAAAATTATGAACAAAAACTATGACAAATAATGCTATTCTCTTGAGATACCGGTATGATGATGGAATTATCTTAATGTTAAAATCAAACAGTAAAGATAAACGTTAATCATATTGCGAGTATATACATATACCACGCTTGGTTGATTCGAAATATGGTGAAGAAACTATTTTTTTTAACCATTATCCCCCGATCAATTTATTAACCCATCGGAGCTGAGAACTTAAGTGAGCTTTTCTAATCACCTGATGTCGGCGTTCGTCCGTCTCTAAACTTTTAACATTTTTGACTTCTTTTCAAGAACCACTGGACCAGTTTTAATCAAAGTTGGCCTATAGCATCCTTGGTTAAAGGGGATTCTAAAATGTTCAAATGAAGGACCAAACCTCTTCCATGGAATATTGATGAGAAAAGGCAAAATTAGGGTAGAGTCATTAAAAAATCTTCTTCTCAAGAACTATTGGACCAGAAAAGATGAAAATTATATGAAAGTTTTTTTTGTTTTAGTGTAGAATGTAAATTGTGGAAATCATGGCCCCGGGGGTAAGGTAGAATCCGTAGCAGTGATAATGAAAGGAGTTTTACATTGAAATATATAGGAAAAGATAAAACTTATGTGAAAGCATCTAGAGTAGTGTAGATTGTAACGGCCTCCGGGGATATGGTGAGGTCACGATATAGGAGATCAAAGATTTACTCAGTAATATATAGGAAAAAATCTTTAAAACTCCTCTCCCCAGAAAACAGCAAAGCCATGATATTAATGTGGTGTAGATTCAAGTTTGTTGAAATCTTGAACACCTGGGGTAGGGTGAGGCCACAATAGATTTACAAAAGAATTTATAGGAATAAAAGCATTTAAATTAGTCTGATTAGTCATATTTATTAAAAGCATCCTCTGGTTGTGAAGAATAATTTTTTTTTCAAATCATGGTTCCTGGGTGAAAGGTGGAGCCACAAAATGCGATCAAAATTGTACAAAGGAATACATATAGGAAATAAAATCTCCTAATGGAGAACAGCTGGGCCAAGTGATTCAGATGAGCGTTGTGGACCATAGGCTTCTTGTAATTTATTTATATTTTCAAATTGGACTTTCATATGGCACGAAACCAGGGTTTTAAACATGATAAACAACTGCTTCTTCAATGAAACTAGAACACGCTAATTTGAATACCTTGTCAATGGCCATCTGCAAACTTATTTTGTTAAAAACAGTCAGATTCTAGACACAAATACTCGGAAATTATTAAATAATCCTCGAGTTTTATTGATAATATCTATGTAATTTTTTTGATCAGGTCTTCAAACAATCTGTTGGAATTCCCATGGGTACTACTTGTGCCCATTTATTAGCAGATCTGTTAAGCAGAATTTATTTGAAAATTTCTACATGAAAATGAGACTCTTGCTGTGGCCTTTAATTCTATTTTTACATATATCGTTTCATCAATTAAAAATATTAATTTCATTCCTACTTTTAATTGATTCAACATATCACATTGAATTCAAAATAAAAGACATGGAATCTGACACATATGTTTCATTTTTTAATAATTTGCTAGAATAATACATTGATGGCAAACAAACAACTAAACTTAATAATAAACTTTTCTAACGTCAACGTCCCTTATTTATGTAGCAATATACATTATGACCTGCATACTGGATGTGACTTCGAGTTGATTCGATTTGCAAGAGTATACTAAGTATTCTACGTACGAACATTTTCTAAAACAAGACAGGCTACAATTTCCTATGTTAAAAATTTCAAGAGCATCTATTCTATATTTTTTATATCATGACATAATTAATGACCCCGCTTTAAGAACCTCGGTTATTCATAACGTCAAAAACACACTATTACGACGTCTATCTACCCATCATTTGAAAAATCTTTTTAAAAATCAGTTATTTAAAAACGTAATTAAATTTTTTAAACCTGGGATTTCCTTAATTTGTTAATTTTTGGAAATTATGTATAAATAGTTGCTTTAAAAGAGTAAATACGCTTTATTTTACTATGCTGCACGAAGTATTGCGCAATGAAAACTCCAGTCGGCCCCCTTAAGTCAATATTTCACAAATTCTATTGTCGATACAATGTCCTTGCCTGTCGTTAGGTCGAATGTTGACTGAATATGCTGATTGACGTCTTTTAAACAAATTGTTAGGCTATCATTTTCACACTGAAATTTCCGTCCCCGACCATGACAAGGGGCACACAGCAGGTGTGATCGGTCGAAAAGGGATGCTCACTTCCCCATGGAACCTGATCCCAGCTCCATTTTCACAGGTCCATATTCGCTCTGCTCACAATTTGAATTGTTTAATTAAACTTTTGAGTATGATTACTGTTTATCTTCACGTTAATGTTTTGGGCCACGATGAGATTTTTAATCAAAATTTCTAAAATGAAAATTACACTGCACTTTAAGAAACTCTACAATACTTGTAATTTCAAGTAATGTGTAGTTCGATTTTGAAAATAAGATAATGAAAAAAGGAACAATAAAATCGAATTGAATAGTATTGTATTTATTTACCAAGGTCAAAATGATTATAGGTTACATACTAAGTATACCTAATTTGCCACTAGCTATTCTAACATATGGATTAGTACCAAAAGATAGTATCCATATATTTCCTAAATACTCTCACTATCAAAGATTACTAATAATTAATAGCATAAATACTCTCATTACAAGAGGCCCATGGGCCACAACGCTCACCTGAGCACACTGGCTGAGCAAAAGCACCTATGTAAAACTTCTAACCCCCCATTGGGCCCCACCCAACCCCCGGGGGTCATCTTTTGAACAAAATTGAATTTACACTACCTGAGGATGCTTTCTTATCAAAATGACTAAACGTGATTTTCAGTTCTTGAGAAGAAGATATTTTCCTATATGTTCCTATGTAAAATTTTCGACCCCCCATTGTGGCCCGACCCTATCCCCGGGGGTCATCATTTTAACAAACTTGAATCTACACTACCTGAGGATGCTTCCATATCAAAATGACAAATCATGGCTTTGCAGTTCTTCAGAAGTAGATATTTTTCTATATATTTCTATTTAAGACTTTGATCCTCCATAGTGGCCTCGCCCTACCCCCGGGGGTCATGATTTGAATAAATTTGACTCTACACTACCTGAGGATGCTTCCATATAAAAATGTCCAATCAGGGCTTTGCTGTTCCTGAGAAGAAGATTTTTAAAGAATTTTCCTATATATTTCTATGTAAAACTTTGATCCTCAATTGTGGCCCCGCCCTACCCCCAGGGGTCATGATTTGAACAAACTTGAATCTACACTACCTGAGGATGCTTCCATATAAAAATGACTCATCATGGCTTTGCTTTTCTTGAAAAGAATATTTTTAAAAAATTTTCCTACATATTTCTATGTAAAACTTTGATCCTCCATTGTGGCCCCGCCCTACCCCTGGGAGTCATGATTTGAACAAACTTGAATCTACACTACCTGAGGATGCTTCCATATAAATATGACTCATCATGGCTTTGCTGTTCTTGAGAAGAAGATTTTTAAAGATTTTTCCTATATATTTCTATGTAAAACTTTGCTCCTCCATTGTGGCCCCGCCCTAGCCCCGGGGATCATGATTTGAACAAACTTGAATCTACACTACCTGAGGATGCTTCCATATAAATATGACTCATCATGGCTTTGCAGTTCTTGGGAAGAAAATTTTTAAAGATTTTTCCTATATATTTCTATGTAAAACTTTGATCCTCCATTGTGGCTCCGCCCTACCCCAGGGGGTCATGATTTGAACAAACTTGAATTTACACTACCTGAGAATGCTTCCACATGAGTTTCATCTTTCCTGACCCTCTGGTTCTTGAGAAGATTTTTAAAAGATGCTATTAATTTTTCACTAATTCTTTATTATCTCCCCTTGAAAGAGGGCGTGGCCCTTCATTTGAACAAAATTGAATCCCCTTTACCCAAGGATACTTTGTGGCAAGTTTGGTTGAAATTGGCCCAGTGGTTCTTGAGAAGAAGTCGAAAATGTTAAAAGTTTACAGACAGACGGACAGACAGACGGACGCCGGACAAAAGGTGATCAGAAAAGCTCACTTGAGCCTTCGGCTCAGGTGAGCTAAAACTACATCTACAGACACTGAACTACAGATGCACGTGAAACAAATACGTATAAAACATTACATCACTTTAGGCACTATATCCAGTTATAAACCATTTAGGTAAGTGTAGGTACAATATATGGGAAAATACTATTGTAATGAATAAAATCGTTCCTATAAAATTGAGGAGGCCATTATGTCTTCGACTTTTGATTGGCGAACTGCGAGCGAGAGAGAGAGATCAAATCGTTCAGTTTGGTCATTTCTGTTTAAGTTTGATAAGGCACAGGGGAGAATCACAGCTTTATGCTGATTGACATCACGTTGTCTCCAGAATATTCTGGGTCCTCTGTTGTGTCGTTTACTTTGGCCTTGTTGTTGTGACTCTTTTCTGAAGACACCATCTCTGATTCCTTCGTCTGCTTGTCGGAAGCAGACATTCCTTTGTTTTCATCTTCCTTAGTACCTTCCTCCACCTTTTTAAGCGGAAGATTGTTCTTTTCGTCCAGTTTGAGATCTGCTTTATCATCTTTTGTTTTTTCTTCATCATTTTCAGATGTGCCATGCACCATGGGACCAATGATTGATAAGAAAAGAGGTAAAACCCAAAGGGCATGGAACAGACCGAAAATCATCACAATCAACATAAGCTTAAAGAATGACAAGAAAATATAACTTTTGGAAAATATCAACATGAGAATTCCCAGGATGGACGACAAAGCAGAGTTAAATATTGGACCTCCAGACCGAGACAGTGCTTGATGAACCTTTTCCTTCCTTGTTTTGCCCGAAACAGACATGTAAGCATGGCAGATGTGAGCACTGAAGTCGACCGAAAATCCTACAGTCATGATGAGGTCAATCATTGTTATGGAACTCAAGGTCAGGTCTAAAAAGGGCATAAAACCAACGATACCCAGCAAAATGATCACCAATGTTACGGTTACCATGACAACAAGGAATAAGTTTGGCATAAAAATGGTTGTTACCACCATCATGACCCCAACAGCGATCCCAAGAGTCTGCATGGTCGCTGGAAAAATCTCTACATACTGTTCATAAAAAATAAACGCCGGGGTGTACGCAAAGACTGAGAATTTAGACTCAGATGCTAGTTTTCTCACATTTTGCATCAAGTTCCCGCTGTCTGTGGTACTCAACATAGGGTTCGACATTACGTAAAATCTTGACGCAATAATAGAAGTTTCCGAGCTATCAAATGCTACATCGTTAGCGAGGTCTGGGCGATACTGCATAAACTGTTTAAGACCATCAATGAAGTTTGTTTTCGAGGAATTATTAAACAAAGGAGACTTAGAGTAGGCACTTAACCAGAATCTCTCAAAATGCGGAGAGATGTATTCATCGCCTTTTATCTTTTGAATAAAAGAGGCTATTTCGTTTTGGTTTTCCTGTGTATGATAATTCAGTGGTTTGTCAAAATTGAATGAAACTGGTGTTGTATCGTCAAAATACTGTTTGTTCCAAACATTGAACTTGTACAGGTACGAATCTTCTGAAACAAGATTTTGTAACTCAAGACCTTGTTTAAGATTTAAACATCCATAAATGGAGAATCCTAAATATGTAAAAAACACTAACAAAATGAATATTTTCCCCACAGTATGACCCACTAGAAATTGACAAAACTTGGTTGGGTATTTCTGAATGAAATTACTGTAATCTTCGGGACTGTTAGCAGGTCCCCCAGCACAACAGAACTGATACAGGGTGGACCGTCCTTCATTTTTCAGCTCTTCTTTGGATTTCGTTTTCATACAAGTGAAGGCGTGTCGTGACTTCTCGGCTCGTCGTTCGTTGATAACCATACAAGGCACAAACAAAGTCAGTTGATTTATATAACAGAAGCACACGGCGACTCCTAAAATAAAGGAAAGTGAAAAAATGAAATAGAATTGATGAATTCCTCATTAAATAGAAAAGCATCGAATGATCACCCTCACTGTGCATCTTTTGGTGCTGTAAATTCATGAAACATGAGGCGTACATATACAAAAGCATAAAACACGAGGTGTACACAAAACGAATTACAATTCAACACAAGTCGTGCATAAAGCGAGGTGTGCATACACACATACATGAAACATGAGTTGTGCATAAACGACATGAAACACGGGGTGTACATAACAAAAACAAGGGGGGATCTACACATATGAAGCACGGGGTGTGCATGAAAAATACATGTAACACGAGGCTGTGCATGTATTTATACACAGTACATGACAGCGGTGTACAAACACAAATACATGTAACGAAACATGCATGCATACACATTGAATAACAAGATTAATGAACTGAAAAATGCAAAATTCATTATGCAGAATCTTTTCCTGCACAAGCTATATCTTAGTCCGAAATATCTGACGTTTTTCTGGCTTTTTTCACGATTTTGATATTTTATACATGCCAGGAAAACGTCAGAACCGGCGCCATTACGAAAACTGGAAATTTCGCCGCCTCCAACCGGAGTTGATTTTCGATACTTGCAAACCGAATTGAATGCCGAACTCACAATTTATCAATAACACAATGCGTCTAGTACTCACCAATATCGATAAAAAGAAAACATCACTCCACATTTCGATACAGGACTTGCAAGATTTTAAAATGCACTAAATGAAAACAAATCTCGACACTCAGAAAAAAATGTTTTCATCGGACTGTATATTTTATAAACGAACCATAAAAAAAACTATGTTAATGAGATTTAAAAGTATTGTACTTTTGATAAGTTGTGAGATTGAAATTTAATTCAGTTCGCAAGTATCGAATATCAGCCCGAGAATGCCGCCTCTGGTTGGAGGAGGCGAATTACCAGTTTTCGTTATGGCGCCGGTTCTGACGTTTTCCTGGCACGTAAAATATCAAAATCGTAAAAAAGCCAGGAAAACGTCAGATATTTCGGACTAGCTATATCTGTGATGAGAGAAAGATGGAAACAAGTATTCCGTTTAAAGGAAATGATCGTCAAGTGCAAATCAATCATCTCGACTTCGCACTGAAAATTTGAAATACTCTTCTGCAACATCATGACCAAATTAATATGTAATGTAACCAGAGACTTGTATTGAATAACAATGCTATCTGTCTGCCGTAACATTTTTGTATGAATTGATCTGTTTTACAAGTGCCCTAACACTAGTTTACTGCCCTTCATTCCATTCACTGTCGCTGGAAAATTCAAGTTGGTTTTCCAGGGCCCTCGTTGACCATGACACGGAACAAGTCAATAAACAGTAGGGCTGGGATGATATATCGAGATATCGATTCAATGTGAGGATGATACGCATATCGATACGTATGAAGAAATATCGACATATTTCCCAAAAAATTCTGACTAATGTTTTTCTTTGTTAACTTAAAATTTTGGGTTTAATATGTAAAATAAATATGCTTAATATAAATATGAATATGAAATACATAATAATTAAGACCAAAATAATTAAGTTTTACAACAGATATACAACTTTTTTGAATGAATTATTCTTATTTGTGAAGAAATGTCTTGTTCATTTCAATATAAAAAAAAAGAATTTATAACCAATTAAACATATCTTGATACATATCGTATCGTGGCTCAAATATCGGGATACGTATCGATATAGAAAAAGTTGTATCGTCCCAGCCCTAATAAACAGCCCGAAATATCTTACGTTTTCCAGGCGTTTTTCATGATTTGGATATTTGACGTGCCAGGAAAACGTCAGAACCGGCGCCATTATGAAAAGTGGGAATCCGTCGCCTCCAAATGGAGGCGGCATTCTCGAGTCGATTTTCGATACCTGCGAACCGAATTAAATGTCTACCTCACATCTTATCAACAGTACGTTGCTTCTATAGTACTTCCAATATCCCTTTTATTGTTCCTTTGTAATATACACGTAAAGTGTCTGGTGAAAACATTTTATCAAACTGTCGCGGTTTGTTTTGATTTCGTTCATTTTGAAATCTCATGAGACCTGAATTGAAATGCGGATTGATATTTTCTTTTAAGCGATATTGGTGAAAACTAGAAACATTGTGTTATTGATAAGTTATGAGTTTGACACTTTTAAACTCGATTTGCAATTATCGAAAATCGAGTTCAGTTGGGGGCGGTGAAATTTCCAATTTTCATAATGGCGCCGGTTCTGAGGTTTTCCTGGCACGTCAAATATCAAAATCACGAAAAACGCCTGCAAAACGTCAGATATTTCGGACTAGTCAATAAATAAATAAATTCTTGCGCATAATTGGATAAATTTGTTTAGTACAGCATGAAACATATATATGTTCAAATAATATTGACGCCATTTGACCACACTATGGAAATTACTTTACTTGTGTTTTCCCCTTTGAGATTAATTATTTATAGGTAATAGTCACCATTTAGAATGTAGTCCAGCTTTACTTACACGTGCATTATTAGATATTTAATTAAAAATAGCTCCATATTTTTATTCGATATATTTCATACATTTTGACGGTGTTATTTAAAACACCCGGCTGTACAAAACATATATCAATTGTCATATATCTTACCGAAATAAATGGTTTTCATGATATCGGAATTTGAAACTTGTGTTGGATGTATGTTAAGATATATACCAATTATAATGATATTACTGCTGAGTATTACCTGTATATATTGAAAAATTCCTTATGCTAACAAAGCTTGAACTTGATCCTATGCCAAAAGCTAGGAAATCTGTCAATGACGTAATAGAAATGGAAACACCGCTGGTTGCCATAGCAAAGGAAATCCGTTCCTTGATGTCAGTGGGTGTTCCGTCACTTCCGGTAAGGGGTGCATCCGCCAGGCCAGAGAGTAATATAAATACATCGTCTAAACCAATACCTAAAAAGGCAATAAATATTATATATGGCAATGAGAATAATTACCAAAGTGAGAATATAACACATGTATAGTGGTGTTCCTAGTAAAAGTACCATTTCAGTGTAGTAGTTTATGAATGTGTCATGTCATATTACATGATCGTATTTTTGTGTATTTTCTGCATGTTCTGGATAGATGTAAGACATTAAGACAATAGCATTACAGGTCACGGATGAAAAAAAGATTTCAACATCTTTTGACGATAGACACGTTTTATACTCATAGTTGACTTTCAAAGGAAGATATTTTTCAATATAATCACACTTCAGTCTTTAATACTTTTAGCAGTCAACTAAATTGAATTCGATCTACCCTACCTATATTGGATTCTTAAACTTCATAAAAATGATACATTTCCGGGTCCAGCAAATGCCAATTAACAATAGTTACATGTAATTCCGTTCATATGTCGACTCGATATATCGCAGTAGACTTAAAAGATAACACAGAGTCTGCCACATCTGTTACATATTTGAATATTTAAACGACTATAGACGATAAGGGCCAACTAACTTGTATGACAAACGAGAAGACTTCACCTTTTCCATTGTCACCTTTCCTTATTTATGTAGTAATATTCCGCTATCACTTGAATATGGTGTTTACGTCTTCAAACTTATTCGATAATCAAGAGCATGCTCCGAGTTCGAACAATTTTTAAACCGAGGCAGGCTACTGAAAGATACGTTGATGTTACTGGGAATTCAATAACCTCGTTTGAAGTCAGCATTTCGTACATTATATGGTTGTTATAATGACCTTGCTAGCAAATATAACACTAACTTGCTAAAAAAATCAATTTCCGAAAATATCCTCCATGCTTTAGAATATTAAAGACTAGTATGTTTTGCTACCTATGGTAGATACGTACCTACTATAAGGAAAGGCATGACACCCACAAGAGACACATACTCCACCCCAGCTGCTGATGTCAGTCCAAAAGAACCCAGGATTGCCAGGATTGTGGCCAAAACGCCTGCTCGACCCAAATTTTGACGGTCTGCTATACAGTTGATTCGCGTGCCAGTTGTTGCAAGTGATGCATACGTTAGCATTATTGTAAAGGTGAGTGATATCCAAAGGATATCCCCAGAGACATTACTGTCGAGTTCTATATCTAGGGACTGGGACATTGATATCGCGATATCAAGCAATGAAGATTCATAGGTTTTCATTTTTGCAATAAATTCTTTCTCCCATATTTTAGCTGTTTCGTTGTTAAAGAGAAGCGAGTACTGCAAACGGATCACATCGGCAGATACCAAAGTTCTATTCACCTGAAGTGCATTACCCAGGTTTCTAGAAATGTCGCTTCTCTCATACACAGGGAAAGAAACCTGTCCCATGTTGAATGCAGCCAAAAAGGTATCAGAAATAATTTTTTCACCCGATACTGAACAAGTTCCTCTACTTTTGGCACACACATCAATTAAAGTTACATTGGACTTGACAGAAATAGAATTTCGTATAAAGCTATCAATAACTTTTATTTCGTCAATGTACTTTTTTTGAAGAATATTTTCCCCTAATTTGGTTCGAAAAATAATGTCTGTTGGAGAATTTACTTCAATTTGTGCCAGAATGTTAAAATTTTCTCTATAATTCATCTCAAATAGACTTCTAGCCCTATCCCGGTCAATGCTGGCTTGACTGTTTAAGGGTGTATACAACACCTCTGTGCTGCCTTCACTCTTTAAACGCAACAAGCCTATCCCGAGGAGAAGATTCGCTGATATGCAACAAATAAGAACTGGCCAGGGATATTTTGAAACGAAGACCCCATATTTGGCAAAGAGTTTGCTCACGGCCTCTTCATATCTCACGTAACATCCCATATTATGTTTTCTGAAAAGAAGTCCATAAAATAAATAATAACTAATAAGTATAAGCAAAAAAGAAAGGATACAAAACATTGATTTGAAAATCATCAAAACGTACCTGTTTTAAACAACGTAGCCTTGTGATATTAATAAAACTCAGATAGGTAATCATGGTTCAATGTTGTCATAAATCAGGAAAAAAGACAAAGATCTCGGATTTCACGCCACTGTTTAAGCATCACCACCCCTTATGCTATTCATAACAAGGTTTTCTTGAATACTTAGTGATTTAAGCTGTGTAGATAGCATATAGATCGAATGACAACAGGCGTCCGAGGTGAAGGGTTTTGTTGAGAACAGCTAATTGGCGAATTCACCCCGAGTTACTGTGGTCTTTTATTGTTCAGTGTCTGTAGGAAATGTTTAGTACGATCTGTCACAATTCAGTTGTTTTCTGTCCGGTCAGTAACTTTTTTTCTTCAAGGTGAATACAAATTTTGAAAAATCATTTGCTAATTATTAACAAATAATTAGTGAATTTAATAGATAGCAATGTTGATTCAAAAGAAAAAAAGAAAAACAAATTAAATGTACTCAGGAAATTACAAAGCTGCTAAATATTTTCCCCCAAAAGTAAAAGAAAACCTATAATGAACAAATCATGACATTGGAAAGAGGACATGTCTGTTTCTAATAGACCGTTAACTTCATATTACCCTTCCGTAATGGTTAAAGTTTTGTATACAAGAAATGATGACAATACCATAGATAAATGTACAAATTTCAATCATAAAAAGGTTGTTGGTCAGACAAAAGCTGAGGGTATTCTTAACACACATAACATCATTATCATCATCATAAATAGATGAATAAACTGTGGAGGTTGATATGCACCCTTATTAAACAGGTATCCAATACCTTCGTCATCATCTTATGATTTGGAATATTGAAATAAAATTAACTGCTGCAAATACAATACATATAACGTATCCAAACGTGTTCGATTAAGGCACTGCTAGCAAAATAGACTTACCTTAACAAGGAAGAATTCTGCAAATCAATAAACCAGAGCTTTGTTGGCTTTATAAGATACGATCTTACAAATACCGATGACAAGCAGATTTTGATAAAAACTCGTCAAAACTAATCCGTGTAATTAGTGGTAACTGAAACCAAGGTAGAATCAGCTGAACCTGGCGGAGTTCGGGTAAATGGCCTCAGTCTAGGGACACACAGAGGCTAATTTCCTTCATACACCTATGATATACGTCATCATATATCAGCGAAAAAACAATTTAATAACAACATATCCTAAAATATGTTTGTCTGTTTCTAGAAATCGATGAATACCCGGCCATAATTATGCAGAGAATTTCGATATGTTGTCAGATTACAGTAAATGAACAGGTATGAACTTAAACAAAACAAAAAAAAAAAAAAAAAAAAAAACAAAAAAAAAAAAAAAAAAAAAAAAACAAAACAATATACTGGTGTATTATTAGAATTGTTATAAAAGTTCTTTTGGATAGTAAATCATTTCTGCTTGTTTTCATCGTCGAAAACACACGGCCAGTCTTTACCGTACGGTCATGCAAGTCCACTGTAACTAGAACGGTCATAATGGCACTAAATATCCCACTGAGGAATCAGTTGGAAAATTGCTAACACGAACACAGTGGTATTTATGAAATATTCCTTGTCACATCACGGGGCTTAATGCTCACCTGGTCATAAAACAATACTGTTGTTAACATTCTCATTTCACACTTATGACCTGGGCAAGACCCTTTCCACTTTTGGAATTTTATCTTGTATACATGCAGTGGCCCTGGGTCCTGAGTTCGTAACAAACTATGTGGTCTAGTATGAGCTTTTGCAATTTCTGCAGCACACAGTATGATGTGGTCAAGGATTTTTATCCTTTTATCCCCGTGACCTTGAGATTGTCCTTATGACCTTGTCCCAGTCAGATTGCACTCTCGACATTGTCCCAGAGTGAGTCAGATTGCACTCGGGTCATAAGTATTCTTTGTGCAATGTAAGAACTTCTAAACCTTTGAATTACAAAACTGTAGCACACACAAAAACATTGCATTTTTAATCCATTTCACCTTGATCTTTTATGCCCTGTTCAATTATTGTATTGTTTGTAGTTGTTTTATTTATTTATTTATTTATTTTGTTTTAGATCTGGCACTACTATTCATTATCTTCACGTACTTTATAAATGCCTGGCTCAGACCAGTTCGTCTTCAGAACAAATGGCAATTTTCTGATGAGTACGAGCATCCAGTGTTTCCCCACACTGACAGGACATCTCTGTCACAAAGAGTGGTACGTGTATAGAAGCGCGAACATGATGAGCTCTATGTACCCTAAACTTTGTGTTATTTTTCTTGAACAAAAATGAAAAAGAAACCAAACATGTAGAAGTTTTTTTTATCATAAAGATAATCATATTCTGTAGTAAGACTCGTGTGAAAATTTAGTATTGCAAGACCAAAACCTTATCAGAAAGGAGGAATAATATTAGAAACCTAAGAGGCCCATGGGTGTTGACAGTCACCTGAGTACCATGAGTTTCTTAGGCTATTGTCACTTTGGCCACACCCGACACTGTGACTCTGGACTGATGTAACAAAAAGTTTAGTTTGGTGAGGAATCCATAATAATTATCATATCATACACTCGTCTCTAAGAAGTTCAGTAGCAAGGAAGATACCCAGAGGTACAGTGTACAGTGAGGTACAGTGAATGATAAAGTTTATGTTACATGTGCTATCTTGGGGAACTTTGTTTATCCTGAATGAAATATTTATCAAAAGCAATGCTAGTTTACAAATGACCCTGCATATAACATATATACACAGAGAAATCAGTAAATCACAATTTAAAAGGAGTAAAGTACATTGACGTAATAAATTATTGTCATTATAAAAAAAATATAAGGTACACAGTGGAGTTATAAAATATGCAGGTGATAATCTATAGGATAATTTCCCTTGAAACACACTACACTTGTTGAATTTCTGATACAAACATTTCTTATACATGTATTTTCACTCAAAGCATTCCACAAATTGCTACTTAAAATGCTGAAAGCACTTTTATAATACCCTATATACATTTCATTTACGATTTCTTGTTTGCCCCTGACTAAGGACAGATGATACCAAAAAAAAAAATGGATGCTTGAATCGATACGTGTATATGTTTTTGGACATATTTTGATTGTAAATTATGCAAATATTAAATGTCTAAAATATAGAGAAATTGAAAACTTTCCGTGATGTTCAAAATTCTACCTTTCTGCCATCATCCTTATAAGCTATACAACATTTTATCACTTTGTAGGACCTTATTGTGAAACCTTGAGTGATAAATTAAAATTTACGCGGATAGAATTATTCATTTTCATCCGGTTGTGTAAACATGACATTAGATGGTGTTTGAAAAAATCCGATGTTAAGAATGACCCTTGCAGCACAGTTTTGTAATATTAAACGCATTTGCAACATTTCTTGGATTCTTCCATATAAAATGCAACAATTAAAATGTGGAAAATGAAAGTTGTAAACATCTTCAGTGATGGGTGGTTTAACATGAAATCCTTATTCTTCTCAGAATGCCAATTTTCCGGAAATCTTGTTCGTAAGTCTTAGACTAGTGTTTCTATAAGAAATTTTCAGGACAAAGTTTCATCAAGAATGAATCAAGTAATTAGGCCTCTGAACACATTCTGTTGCATGTTGTGTTTTTTTTTTTGCACTAAACTTAATTTTCAATTCTTGATAATCTTTGTATAGATCCAACAATCATATATCGAGTTTAAGACAGACTTATGCTGAATTTATTTTGCTCAGTCCATGCAACATATACTAAGCTGTAGAACTTCAAAATTAAGAAGGGAAAAAGATTTAATTACAGGTGTATACGATTTATTTTCAATATATAAGCAACTAAGCCACACTCTCGATTCTGAACCATGAACGCAAGGGTCCTAAATTTTACAATCGTGGCAAAATTTTAACATCTTAGAGGCAGAAACTGTCCTGGAGGTCTAAAAACTATTTTTGAAGAAGGTTTCTTATTCAAACAGTTTTCCTTCAAGATGTGCAGAAGAGAGTATATTTCTTAGATTATAATTATACATTTGCACTATATGACTATTTAGTGCCCATGAGGTAGAAACCCTAACTGAGGAGTAATAAAAAAAGACTATTTTGGTAGAGTACTTATTGCCCTTTCTTACGATGCATTCATTTTTTCTTCAAAATGTGATAGGGTGAGAGAAAAAGATTTTTTTTAACATTTGGCTACTTTGGTCGTTTTTGCCACAGGGGCCTGAAGTGTAGATTCATAGTCCCCCCCCCCCCCCCTTAATTAAAAAAAAATGTAAGAGCTTATAATTTCTCAGAAAATATATAAATTTCCTCGTCAATCACATCCATAAGTCGTTCTATGCAAGCAGATTGTACTTTTTCTTACGTTTAGAGAATGGCCTTGTACGGTATAATAAAAATACACAAGTTAAAAACAAAATTTGTAAACACTGTACATTGTACCATCTAGCGTTAACCGTTTAACAAAAGGGGGGTTTCCTGCTTCGAGACATATTTCCAAGGTTATAACAGTGTTACCTATCATAGCTTTGCAAGCAATCTGTCAAGGAGATGTTCTTTTACTAGTCTTTTTAAACTAAACCTCATCATTAGTGTTTTATATGCCGTAATCGGACGGTTTATGAATCGGATACATAAAAATTTTCATCATTGACTGCTTTATATCCCAGTGAGCTTGAAATAAAAGATACCACAGAGTCTAGCACAGCTGTTTCATATTTAGATATTTTACTAGAAAAAAGACATTAAATAATGGTAACCTAACTACAAATGTTTACGATAAACGTGATGACTTCAACTTCTCAATCGTCAACTTCCCTTACTTATGTAGCAATATGTACCTTTATCACCTGCATATGAGGTTGATTCGATACGCAAGAGCATGCTCTACGTATTAACAATTTTTAAAACGAGGCAAGCTATTGACAAAAAAGTTGATGAAACAAGGATATCAACAGTCGCGTTTGAAGTCATCATTTCGCAAGTTTTACAGTCGACACAATGACTTTGTCGGCACATACAACCTATCACTGAGTCAAATGCTGACTGACGTTTTTCATACTAATTGTTAGATCATTATTTATACACTGAACTGTCTACAGATTTTTCTGGGTTTTTTTTCGATATTGACAAGGAGCACACGGTGGGTGTGACCGGTCGGCAGGGGATGCTCACTCCTCCATGGTACCTGATCCCACCTCTAAATTTTGAGGTTCGTGTTTGCTCTGCTCCAAATTTGTATCGTTTCATTGACTTTCGAGATTGAAAACTGTTCGTTATCTTCATATTTCATTAAAGGAGGTTTTCGAATTCGCCGTCTGTTTCGCTTTATCTGATTGGATAATAGTGATACAGTTTAAATCTTTGATCAGAATTTATTTATTAATCAAATCATAAATTGGTTGTGGTCATGAAATATAACACACGCTTTTTATAATAAGGACTATATGTCAAATGCGCCAAAATACAAAACACATACCGTATAGAAAAGATAGGTTATGACTTTAGAGTTGTTTACTGTTTTAAAAAATACAACAAAAGTGTTTCATGCAAAAATTAATTTAAAACTTCCAGTGAAACTGAAACTTGAGACTTTTCAAAACAATCCTTTATTGAAACAGAAATAACCACCTGGCGTTGAGAATGAACCCTGCACGCTGAGGTTGATGGCCTCTGCTAGTGTCATACTATAGTTGGCTTACACAGACTCGGTCTAGCACTACAATTACGTCACAAGATTCTCTGCTCTGCGACTGAAAAAGAAATCAAACAACAAAATTAAAAAATAAAATATTCTAATTTTCAACGGAATAAAGGAGAAACACACAGCAGTTTACAATATAACAAGTAATTATTTTAAAATGAATACACCCGGTCCCTTTAATAAAAAAAATCTACATGGAGTAAACATATTTCAAAAGTACACACTTATAATGATTCTGTTTATAGTCTCCAGGTTCCTTTAAAATCCACGAAGACTGTTAAATCAAAATTAAGAATGGTGATAGTAATTAATGGTTATTTTATAAGATGAGCTAGATTTGGCTGAATTCAATATAAGTATTATACTGACTGTGACAGAGCCAACTTAATTCTTTGTTTTAACTAACCTTCTGTTGCAGTGCAGTAAACAGCTCACTACAACAATAACGATAACTCCAGCTATGGACCCCAGCACAATTAGAATTATTTCCCCGGTAGAGTATTTGGACTTCTTGGATTCACCAGACCTTGTCTTCGCTGCCAGATTAACTTAAAGAAAAAGCAGGAAACCGTTAATACAATACGCTGTCCAGTCGTTTGATTTAATGTGTCAATGGATATAGATGTCAATTTACTATAATACATAGTTTTGACTCACGGTAGAACAAATACTTCAAATTATCACTGAAGTAAATATTAATTAATTTCAATTCATTAATAAATAAATAAGAAAGGATTGAAAACCAGCCAAAAAACTACATCACTATAATCTTAAAGATCTATCTTTTTAATTGCTTTATGACTCAATGGCAATCAGTGCGTGCCGTTTTTTGCATAATGATTCTAATCTGGTAAGATATTAATTTCTAACCTTCACAAAATGCTCCATCCCACCCATCAATACATCCTTTTGTGCAAATCCCCGACTTAAAATCACAAATATCAGACTTGCATGTAGAGTTACAAGCATCAGAACACAATTTGCCAAAGTATCCATTCATGCATCCATCTGCGCATGCGCCATCAACGCAATTACCATGAAGACAACGTTCCCCACACGTTTTCTCGCATTTACTTCCGGTTCGGTTCGTTACACATTGGCTGCAATGTCCAGACTTTTCATCACAAATCAAACAAGATTCTACACAGGTGGTATTACAGTATGGACCGTACAATTTCGGGTGGCACTTGTGTTGTCTGCATTCTCCGGTAGTCCTGTCACAGTCTCCCAGTAAACATCCGGAACACTCCTTCTCACACTTTTCTCCATATCTACCAGGTTTGCATTCTTACAAAAAGAGGAAGAGGTTAATTTCTCAACTCACAAAAGTTATATTGTTACAGTACGTGTATGAATAAAAAGTATTGAATTGCATAAACAGTAACTATTGTATATTTTATATAAATATTGCATGTACATGTAGTTGAGGGTAACATTTAAAATTATAACAGTAAACAGTGCACTCATAAATTTTGCGCAAAGTCAACAATATTTGGAATATCACCTGTCCTCAAGCACCCTGGAGGGCGTGGTGTCATTATTTAGAGGGTAAAAATCAATGAATAAGATTCAACTAATCAACATGAAACTATAATATATAGTTTTTACAACTTTTCGCAAAATATTTGAAATTAGTTAGACTGTCAAGCTTTTTTTCGCATGAAGCCTGTTGCTTTTTCTATTATTACTACCCATATCTTTTTATGTAAATTGTATTTATAACTCATGTTCACATATTGTTTCGTATAGTCACGCAAAATTCTGGACCATTTGACTTCTGTTTGTGCACATACATTTATCTGGATTGAAAATATTCCTGGAAAGGAGAATTATGAATACAAAAGTTACTTTATTTTCCCATTACAAATACGTATACTTACCAAGGCATCTTCCTGTCTCTTTATCACATCCCAGTACGCTGCAATGTGACTGACAGACACTATAACAATGATAGCCGTACGCTCCCGGAGAACAGCCGAGTGTGCAGTTCCCAGTCTCCTTGTCACACGTGTTATTCTTACAGTTACTCGAACAAGATATCTGACAATATGAACTGTAATACCCATAGTTACAGCCATTCAAACACTGACCACCCGAGCTGTTACACGTCCGCTCTAGACAGTTTTCTCCACAGCGAAACTGACACTGGTAATGGACACCGGACAGAGAGTACCAGCCATCCTGACAACCGTCGGTACAAAGTCCGGTAACTCCATCACAAGAATCATTTAAACAGTTATAACAGGATTTACAGAAACCGGTTTGAAAATCGCGATAAAACCCAGGTCCACATCTGTAACACTGGACAAAGTGGTCTGCTGGTGAATAGTTATACTCTTTGCACTCCAGACAATGTGGGAAATTATACGAACAATTAAAATCGCATTTAGGCATGAACCATCCTGGAAGACAGCCATTTTGACAGACTCCAGTTGTATAATTACAGGTGCTTTGGTTTCCCTTGAGGCAGTTTTCACTACAAGTGTCGAAGCATTGATCCCCTATATATTCTTCTTGGCAACCAGTGATACAATTTCCATTTTCAGGGTGACAAATTTCCTGACCAGAAGTATGGTTGCAGTGTTCACTACAAGGACAACAGGCATCCTCAAAAAGAAACCACGATGTTTCGTTTTTACATTGACTACATCTGTTATTTGTTACATTCGAACACTCCGAAACTTCACACTTACAGTCTCTTCCTTTAAAACCCTCTAAACAAGTTTTACATTTACCATCCCTTTCACAATCTTTACATTCTATAGGACAGGAAAGCTGACAAAAGTACCCGTAAAACCCCGATTTACAAACATCACATGTTGTTATGTCGGAACAACGATCGCAGTTCTTAATACACTTGTTTTCACAGTACTCTCCAAACCAACCACTCTCGCATGAACCGCATTTCCCAGAATTTTTGTCACAAGATAATGTTCGGCAGTGTGATGTGGGGCAATTCTTCTCGCAACGAGTACCATACCAGCCATCCAGACACTTGCTACAGGAAGTGACGTCATACGTACAAAGCGAGCAGTGTTCATCTGTACATTTTGTGGAGCATTGATTCCCGCCAAATCCTGATTTGCAGGTCCAGCAAGAGCCACTTCTTTGGTGACATGATGAGGAGTCGCAGTTAACAGGACAACTGTTGTTACAGAAATCACCCCACAAACCATTGACACATCCGTAGGCACATGAACCCGTATCACGGTGACAACCAAGAGAGCAGTTTGTGGAACATTCGTATTGGCACTGAGGACCAAAATATTCACTCAGACATCCAAAACACACTCCATCCTGATCACAGTCGTACATACATGTAGAAGAACAGTTTGACTGACACTTTTCCCCATAAAACCCATCTTTACAATGTTCACATGCTCCTGATGTTCTGTTACATCGGAAACAGTTGGGAACACACGTTTCGTTGCAAGAGTCGCCAAAGAAACCATAAGTACAGGATCCTTCACAATAACCCGTTAGTGTGTTACAGCCCGTCAAACAGTTTGAACAATTCTGCACTACAATAATGTAAGACAAATATGTAAAGTGAATTCAATTGAATTGTATTTCTTTACTCTATGTATGTACATGTATAAACTTTAGCGTCAAACCCTGTTAAATTCCGTGGTTTAGATATCAATTGATGATGTGAGATGAAAAATTATGCATAAGGTGGCATGAGATACCAGACAAAATATAATTATAAACCAAAATCAGTTGGATTTCAAATACCCCCACCTTTCAGTATACCAAATTGTAATTTTTTATTTTCAATTTAAATTGTAAACTTTATTTTCTCACACTTTACCGGAGCCCGTAAGTGCATTTGTTCTTCAAATCTGTAGCAGTATTAGTTTTAAATTTTTACAGAAACATCGAAATTTGTTTCATGACGTCAAATGACACCATAAGTTAAAAAATCTTATTTTTTTAAATATAAAATTATTTCTTATCTTCTTCAGAATAAAGTTTTATCTTTTAAAATACGATTAAAATTAAAGATTTTACAGGCAGTTGTAATGGGGACAGAATTATGAAACACCTTGTACAAAATCATGATGAAAATTTTGTTTAATTGTCAGATTTATTTCAGAAGTTAAACTGATTTGAAAATTTGACTCAAGTCAGTTCTCAAGGTGAGTTTATGGTCCCGACGCCAGGATTCCATTAACATGTTTAAACCGTCTTTTCTTCAATAGTAGTATGCCCATACACCTGATGAACTTAGAACTTTATATAAACAAAGCAGTACGGATTACTTTACCTTGAGTTGAATTTAGAACGTCAGGTACCATTCCTGTTGCAGATAAAACATAACAAAATATGACAGTAATCATCAAATTATAACACGGTAAACAATTCATAATGAAACTGGCGTTAACAGACTGTAATTAAATTTGTCAGCTTTTTGTCAAACTTTATCTACACATAAGTAAACAAGGTTTCTTATCAGTGCGGTGATTTCACAAGATGCACAGATTGTCATATGAACAACATAACCAATTAGGTCATGGGCAAAATGTGAATATTTTTTAGTTGTATTTACTGGATATTTTTCTTGAATTCTTTGGTCAGTATGTATGATTTCCGTCTTTCCGATATAAGGTCATCTAGGTTCGTTGGCATTTGGAGACTGCAGATTTGTACTCATAATGAAGCTTAGAGAGATCCGACAAATGTTAATCCAGCTATTGTGACGATGAAGGTGACGAAAGATTTTCATTGAATGGATAAAGCTGAATTTGAGGCCTGTGGCTGTGTTCCTGAGCGTGGATTTAAAGGTAGGACAATAAGAAAACCCTCCCTACTGACCCGCGAGTTTGCCAAAATCATTATTTAGTATTCTCCCAGCAAATTGAATAAAGACTTGACTTAAAATCGTCTTTTGTTGCCTGTTTTTTTTTATGAATTACTGGACGAAATTATAATATGTCCAATGAAGAATGAAAATGATCCCAGGGAAAGTCCAGCCAAACTTTAATCATGCATACCTAATCTATAGGGTCAGGTCAGGGGTATTTATATTCTCCATAACTCTCTGCTTCACATGTCGTGACCGGTAAAACATTAAATGTGAAGCAATGTTTTTTTTCATGTTTGGAAACATCTAGAGGAGCTTCGTCAGCATGGTTGTAAACAGTTGGCAACTCTGAGATTGTCAGACACTTGTTCCCTCTAACAGTACCTTTTCCATATTTTTTGAAATTCCCTTTCAAAGTCCATTGGAGTAATGCAAAGAAGGTCTGTGTCCCAAAACATTAATTAACATGTATTATTTCACCGTTAAGAGTTCTTATATTTTTGTAATAGAGAGGAGGCAGAAAACGTCAACTTCTGTTTGATATCCAAAAATTTAAGGGGCTGTCTGAACTAAACTTGAAACTTTCTTTCGATCTGATGTAGCAATACTTTTTTTGAACATGTTCTGGGTATATTGATAACTATATAACAAATTCAATGTGTTACCTTGATCAGTCATTATAAAGAGATTTGGGACTGTCAACGTTAACATCTCTTTTCTGCCACGTTTTCTACTGCAGTAGACAGGTGTCTGAGCTTAGGCTAGTTTACTGCGGTAGACAGTTGTGTGAGTTGAGGTTAGTCTACTGTGGAAGACAGCTGTGTGAGTTGAGGTTAGTTTACTGTGGTAGACAGCTGTGTGAGTTGAAGTTGGTTTACTGTTGTAGTCAGCTATATGAGTTGAGGTTAGTTTACTGTGGTAGACAGCTGTGCGAGTTGAGAGTAGTCTACTGTGGTAGACAGCTGTGTGAGTTGAAATTAGTTTACTGTGGTAGACAGCTGTGTGAGTTGAGGTTAGTTTACTGTGGTAGACAGCTGTGTGAGTTGCGGTTAATCTACGTTGGAAGACAGCTGTCTGAGCTTAGGTTGGTTTACTGCGGTAGACAACTGTGTGAGTTGAGATTCGTTTACTGTGGTAGACAGCTGTGTGAGTTGAGAGTAATCTACTGTGGTAGACAGCTGTGTGAGTTGAAATTAGTTAACTGTGGTAGACAGCTGTGTGAGTTGAGGTTAGTTTACTGTGGTAGACAGCTGTGTGAGTTGCGGTTAATCTACGTTGGAAGACAGCTGTCTGAGCTTAGGTTGGTTTACTGCGGTAGACAACTGTGTGAGTTGAGATTCGTTTACTGTGGTAGACAGCTGTGTGAGTTGAGAGTAGTCTACTGTGGTAGACAGCTGTGTGAGTTGAAATTAGTTTACTGTGGTAGACAGCTGTGTGAGTTGAGGTTAATCTACGTTGGAAGACAGCTGTCTGAGCTTAGGTTGGTTTACTGCGGTAGACAACTGTGTGAGTTGAGATTAGTTTACTGTGGTAGACAGCTGAGTGATTTGAGGTTAGTATATTGTGGTAGACAGCTGAGTGAGTTGAGGTTAGTATACTGTGGTAGACAGATGTATGGGTTGAGGTTAGTTTACTCCGATAGACAGTTGTATGAGTTGTCTTTAGTCTACTTGGTAGACAGCTGTGTGAGTTGAGGTTAGTTTACTGTGGTAGACAGCTGTGTGAGTTGAAGTTAGTTTACTGTTGTAGTCAGCTATGTGAGTTGAGATTAGTTTACTGTGGAAGACAGCTGTGAGAGTTGAGAGTAGTCTACTGTGGTAGACAGCTGTGTGAGTTGAGATTAGCTCTCTGTGGAAGACAGCTGTGTAAGTTGAGGTTAGTTTACTGCTGTAGAAAGCTTGCTGCGAGGTTTCTGAGTTAAGGTTAGTTGATCGTGATAGACAGGTGTCAGAGCTTAGGTTAGTTTATTACGGTAGACAGCTACCTGAGTTGAGGTTAATCTAAAGCGGTATACGGTTGTCTGAGTTGAGGGTAGTTGATCACGGTAGACAACCCGCTTTAGCACATCGGATCCTCTTATTCTCATAAGTGCATTGCTTCTCTCGCTTCTTGTTACAATAACATAACTTTTTTTAATGCCAGAATACCATGGCAATCTCATTATCGTTAATAAAATATCTTGTCTTATCTTAGATGATTTATGAAGCATTTTCGCCAGAAATACAGCTTGGAATAGATTTTTCAGTGTTTTGTAATTTAATCCATTTTTTTGTGAAATTTTAATTTCTTTCATGAATTAAAATTCAATTTAGTTAACATTATGTCGTGTCACTTTATATATATGTACATATGTGTTTACAAATGCAAATGGAAAATATAATAAATGACAGTGCATTCGTAAATTGTTGTATTAATAAATTGATGATACATACAAAAAAATGGATGCCTGGATTGATTTATATTTTGGACCCAATTTGGGTTGTAAATGATGCAAATATAAAATTTCTAAAATATTAAGAAATTGTAAAATCTACCTTTCTGCAATCATTCTTATTAATCTTAACAACTTGTTGATACTTTAATCACATTATTGTGAATTTTTGAATAAAAAATTAAAATATATGATATACGTTTAAACTTATTCCTTTTCTTATACAAGCACCACCTTATTATTTTCATGATTTTTTGATAAAAGTTTTTATCATCTGTTCTGAAACATGTAACAAGTTAAACATGCTAAAAGAACTTCTAAAGTAAGTTTATTTAAACCCGTTTGAAAATGAATATGAAAAATAACTGTTATCATTTTTTTCTTTAGATATTCATCTTTGCGTTATTTCATCGATTTCCATAAGAAAGTACTTTAGGGTAGGACACTCTTTTAGAGGCCAATTCGGGTTTGGGGTATGTCATCTTTGCTAGCCAAGGGTTTCCCATTCGAAATCTTCTATACAATCCTAGGGGTATGTGGATCCTTATAGGATGAATCTACACTACTTATAATACGTATATGGCTTCATTCCGCATTCAAAGACATAAATGTTTTACACCTCCAAGTGCTTCACAGTTTTGCTAAGTTTTTTTTACTTCCGGTCTTATAGAGTAGGCTTTCCCCTCTAAAATCCTTTCCCCCGAAAAACTGGCTCTGGAGCAGGACCCCCCCCCCCCCGAAAAATAGGCTCTAGAGTAGTATTTCCCCCAGACCCCTATAAATTATCATGCCTGAACTGATATATGAAGGGGGCAGGGCGACACATTGTTAATTTTCCAACAGGTGCTCTCGCAGTAGACAATGAAACACCATAAAAATTATAAACAAAGAGTAGTTGTGCATTCAACATTTATTTTTTCAAAATGGTGACTAGTTCCATTGAAACATACGAAGAACAGAAATTTTAAATCTCATATTTCTCAGCAACTACCAAACCAATTCTTTTAAAATATTAAAGTTTATTCTTTGCATCTGTTCAAACGGGGGTTCAAAAAGATTGTACAAATGAATGTAATCGGTTGGACACATTCTTAAGTGTAGCCCTGGAAAGAAAATGGAGAAATTTTATTTTAAATGGATTTTTCTCTCCAATTATATTGTTGTGCGTCTCTCCAAGTTTCTGGGGTTTAAATATCCAAAATAGCTGCCTTTGCCATGGAACTAAAAATGTGTCAATTTCTAAAAATTTGAAATTTTTCGAAACTCAGAGAGAGCATTTGCTCTCTGCTTTCAAATTTAAAATCCAATAATACACCGCTGGGGTCGAGCAGTGTTTCTTGTATTATTTTGTCTTTGGATTTGGCTAGTTTTTTTTTTACTTTGAAGAACTACGTTCTCGATTCAAATACTCACAAAATGGTATATGCTATCAATAATCATATTCAATTTGTTAATCTAGCATTTAGAATAAAGTTTTCATTATTGAAATTTATGAAATTATTACAAAAACTTTTCTGAGGAAAATTTTCTCAGCAAAAATTATTCTATAATTAAAAAAAAAAATAATATTTGACCTTTTGTCCTTGACCTTGGAGTTTGACCCACTTTTACAATTTTTTTCCAAAGTTTAACATTAGCCATAACTTTTGAATGGTTAGTGCTAGTGTTTTCATACTTCACATGTGTATTTCTTGTGGTATGACCTTCCTCCTTTGGGTACCAATAATTTTGACCTTTTGACCTTGACCTTGGAGTTTGACCTAATTTTGGAAAACTTTAACCTCAATCATAACTTTTGAATAGTTGGCTCTAGGGCTTTCATATTTTACATCGTATTTCTTGCGATTAAGACCTTCACTAAGGTACCAACAGTTTGATCTTTTGTTCTTGACCTTGGAATTTGACCTACTTTTGAAAAAAATTTACCCTTGGCCATAACCTTTAAAATAGTTGGTGCTATGGCTTTCATCTTTCATAGATGTGTTCCTTGAGACAATGTCATTCTTTGGGTACCAATATTTTTTTTTTTATTTTATATCTCTTGACCTTTGAGTTTGATTTGCATTTTAGAAACTTAACCAACGCCACGGGCCACCATACGGCATCAGTATTTCAAAAAAAAAAACATCTTGTTTTTCTTTTTTTTTTTTTAAATTATGAACTTGCACACTTTTCATCACTATATAAACACTTCAGATTGAAATTTCTTACATAACGTACCGATTGACAGACATTACCTGAATACTATCGTAACGGTGACAGACAAAACGAATGTCTGTTAATGTTACGTAAACCAAATGTATACATTCAGTGATTTAAACCAAAAAGTATTTTTATTTAAGTATATTAATGTATCATAAGGCAGAATTTGTCTTTATAACTTAAACAATAGAATTTGCCGGTTTTCTCGCAGTTTTTAAAACGAGTCTTCAGGGTTACATGCATCCGTATGTATTACGATATACCGGTAGGTTTGATCTATATGAAGTAATTTATTTTTTAAATTTTATAGAGTATTTTCATAAAAATTATATCTTGTCTACTATAATTTCCAAGAATAAAAGATAAGCTTTGAATTATAAATTTTATGAGCTCTGTTCAAACAGGTATTGCGTAACATGACAGATATGGTGGAGACCGAGTGTGTTACAAAGTGTATATAGCAGAGCTTTATTTCTAAAAAAAATCAAGTCAAAATTGATTAGGAGTCAAAATTTGAAAAATGGTCATTTCATAAACCAACGTTATCTTTTTGATAAAATGATGAAAGTTTATGGTTGATTTGGCTGGCTAACTAGAGGAGTCTGTCAGTGTTACGATTGTAACAGGAAAGGAGAAAATGTATGGCTGGACTGGGAATCGAATCCGGGACCCCTGCATCACTAGTCAAGTGCTCTACCGACTGAACTACCCAGACCGATATCCACGGCCCAAACCATTACATTCCTCCCTCCTTAAATTGTCTTCGCCCTCGATGACACAACCCAAGTTCTTATTGCCCCTGGCAGGACGTTCACCTGCAAGTCCAGGGATGGTCACGGCACCAAATCTGTAACAGGAAAGGAGAAAATGTATGGCTGGACCGGAAATCGAACCCGGGACCCCTGCATCACTAGTCAGGTGCTCTACCGACTGAACTACCCAGGCCGATATCCACGGCCCAAACCATTACACGATCATCAGTTTGTGCATCAAAAGTAGCTTAAAAACCTTTTTTCTTCCATGTAAGAGTAGAAAATATTTTTACCATTGTTAAAAGAAATGTTTTATTTATTTATTTATTTATTATTATTTTTTTTTTACAAATTATTTGTATTAATTGCTAAGCATCAGAAATGTAATTCAATCATGTCTTGTTACATTATATGTCTGTCATGTTCTGTTACAGTACCTATCTGTTATGTGTTAGTGACATGCATTTCAAACATGAATAAAATATTTATTTTTGACTTAAATAACTATCCAAACATTTTTTATCCTATTAGAGTCAAAACACATCAAGAAATAATAAGAGAAAAAAATCGCGATTACAGAATTCTTTATTTGTCCTCCCAGATGTACTCAAGAGCGAATTTAGAGCAATTATATTGCGCATGCGTGAGATTAATGGCCTGATTTTTTTTGGTGGGCACTATCTCTATGGTGGTGAAAATATGATCTTTTCTTTGGTTTTCCGCAGATTAAGCAGTGTAGCTGTAAGTATAATTTTGACATTCTGAACATTTATGAACATTGAAGTGAGTATGAGTGCTGAAAATAAACTCTGACTTTCTTTAGACGGTAAAACACCGAAGCCTTCGTCCCAGGTTCACAAAATGGCTGACCGGGGTAGCGTGAAGGTCATCAGAGTGTGAGTCAAGTGAAATATTAGACCGCATGACAGTACAGGCAATGGGCAGGCCACAGAAAGGTCAAATTGCATAGAACTTGTCGTACACACAAAAGAAGTATAATCCTTGCCGCGTCCATTGATTCTTTGTTGGGTTGCATTGAGAAACTCGAACACTCTCGTACAGCTATAGTCGTCGCGTTCGATCACTTGCGTATGTAAACAATGCGAATCCTTTGGATGACCCAGATCTTAAAATACAACAACAAATGTAAGGCTTGATGAAAGTGAGAATATATTTCAGTTGCTCGCAATGTAATAAACTATCTGATAATGAGGAAATCCGGTGTCGTTGAAAACTGAATGGGCGGACATTTCTATCAAGCGGTGAAATCCTCGGAGTACCGAATATAACTATTATACCGACTGGTTTGGCTGTACATCGGGTATTAGACAGGGAGATAACCCCCCCCCCCAAGCACTGTATCGATCTGTATCTATATTGCAAGTAATATTGTTAAAAGTGACACATAGGCCCAATGGGCCAGGTGAAATACCTATGACATGTATGATTATTTATATTTAAATGTTGTGATTCTACATAACACGTCACTATAATAAACCATACTGACCAGGTCAGTTCTAACTTTATTTCTTGTATCAGCAGATGCATCAGATAAACATTTGATGATAATGATAACTGTAACGACACTTGACTGAGTTCTTCCATGTACTTCATTCTTCTGTTAACCACCATTACCAACAATAAAATCAAAACAAAAACAAAAACCTCCTCCCATATATGACTGTAACAGCTGTGCAACGGTTGCACAATTCAAATATGTATTTTAATTTTAAATGATTAATCAATATCTATTTATTTGTTTATAATATGATGTATAAATATTAAATTGAACAAAGATCTCGTTTCCATACCGATAAGACTGACGCAATATTCAAGCTATGAGCATTTATTCATGCGTGCACCGAACATTCAGTGCATTTTCACATAACGAGTTGTCGACCAATCGAAAGGCACCTGATTGTGACGTATAAAACGTGAAGCACATTCTTCGTCGCCATTTTGATTCACGTGGAGAGAAGGTTGTGCACACGGCCCCACAATCTACGGGAAACTTGAGGTAAATATGGGGTCATTCACGCATTTAAATTTTACTTATCTCTTGTCAAATATGATATTGAATTCATTTCGAAAAAGAGGTACAGGAAGTTTCGACATAACGATAAGTGCAACATGTAACAAAGGCTAAAAATGAAGAGAGCACGCGGATGTAACAATAAATCTGCCCTGTTTCTGGTTACAGAACAAAATAATTTGCTTTTTATCTTTACGGTTTTCTTAAATTAATAAAACGTGTGCAGTTTTAACGAATATAACTTAATAGAAAATTAAGCACATTAATGAGAAGAAGGCTAACTCAGCTTTCTAGGTTCACGAGACTGTTCATATAAAAATTAACTGAACAAAATAACTTGCTTGAATTCGTATGATTAAAACCATGTGCATGTGTTTTAACTGATATAGTTTTAAAGAATGTAATAGAAATTTAGATGAAGTATAGAGAGTTGCATTAGGTTTGTATTAACTTGATTTAACGTTAACGTTTCACTGAACTAAAACAATTTGCTTGAATCCCTGATTAAAACCATGTGTGTTTTCACTGATGCAGTTGAAAGAATGTAACTGAAAATGAGGTAAAGTATATGGAGTTGCATCAGCTTTCTACTGTTCTAAGTATAATGTTTAAGACATATTAGATATTATGTTAAGTGTTAAGTAACAGAACAAAAACAATATCCTTGATTCTATGATTAAAACCTTTTTTTTTTTTTAAATTATACATAAACTGATGCAGTTTTAAAGAATATAATAAAAAATTAGGTACATTATATGAAGTACATGTGATTGCATCATCCTTCAAAGTACACTTGATTAGTCCATGCTTTACTGTTGAAATGTTCACATGATAATGCTACCAAAAAAAATTGCTTGAATCCCACAATTTATATTTAAAACTACATTTTGTTATTAATGAAACCAATGCAGTTTTAAAGAATGTAATGGTAAATTAAGTATATTAATTAAAATATGTAAAGTACGTAGTGTTGCAACAGGTTTTTGAGTCATCATGCAGGTTTGAAAGCACGTGTGGTTTTTCAAGAATTTTTTTAATAAATATAAAAAATTTAAAAAATGAAGAGTGGTATGTGAGATATATTTATGCAGTCAGCTTTTTAATCTTTTTGATGAAGAATTCAATTTTGAAACATGATTAGATATTTCTTATGAATAAAAAATGGTTTAAAATGTAAGGAACTCTATTCTAGTGTTTCCCTAATATTCAAGTATAGTTCATAAATCTTGCACTTTCATGTTCAGGCTTGGCAAAAAAGCAGGAATTTTCAAAATACTCGTATTTCCCAGGGTTGAGAAATACACATTACTGGTAATTCCCAGGATATACTGGGAAATAAAATATAGCTACATTTCATTGTACTGTTTGTGTACTTAAAAAAGTGGGCTTTACATTTTAGCGGCTTTGACATTGCTAATACAATGATACATTACGATACATTAATAAATACAATACATGCCACAGACCTGTGTAGCACTTAATTCATGATTTTGCCAACAACTCTATACCAAGTTACTGTACTAAATTTTGAATACGCCGATTTATGTACACGTACAGTATTCACCATGTCTGTTGGGTACTATACAGAGGGTAGTACATCTTACTTAGATATCTAATGATTGTCTCTGGTTAAAAAAAAAATCTGGCTATCTAGTAATGCATCTTCTTCCAAATAATTCTCATAGACCAGTGTAATTTGTTTCAATACTTGAGTCGTGTGTGCATACAGATTTAAACTGAAACTCAAAGCTCCCATTTGGTTCTGTACTAAGAAGGATGTAAAATATAGTGTGATCTAAGTGTCACACCTTAGAAGAGGCCAGCTTTCAGCTCTCCTCAAGGTAAATGTCCCTCAAAACAGAAGCACACAACTGTCAAGAGTCAATTTGTTAGACAACATGTTGATTGTTATACTTACAGTATTTATAGAAGGAATAATAAAACAGTTTATTTTGCCCTTGAACTAATTAAAAATACAAAGGTGAAAAGAAGCTCTAAATAGAAAATTTTATGTTTGTTTATCAGATAGGCAGGGAAACATTCTCTTACAGAATGCATATCTTCTTATATGGATAAAGAGAACCTTTAGGTGTGATACATATATATAGTACTGACACGCTGTACATATTGAATTAAAGTTTGAGACATATTCATCTTGTTTTTTTTATTTTTTGTTGATTTTCTTAATGCAGTATATTTTATTTCTGAATTATGTATTACATTGGAAAAAAAAAGTTAAGGACAGCGGATGATAAAAACTTTCATCAAAACTTTTGAAAATAACAATTTGAGTCATGTTTTTATAAGTAAAATGAACAAGTTTAACTGTGTAGTTTTTAATTTTTCATTTAAAATTGCACAATAATGGAATTTAAAGTGACAAAAATGTGTATAGATTAATAAGGATGGTTGCTGAAAGGTAGAATTTTGAACATCATAGAAAGTTTAGAATGTCTTAATATTTTAGAAGTTTATTATTTGCATCATCTGCAACAAAAATATGCCCAAAAATATATACCAATCCAGGCATCTATTTTTTTGCTTGTATCATCTGTTCTTAAAAAAAATGTATTTCCCAGTATTTACCAGGACAGGAAATACTGGTATTTACCAAATGAATGGTAATTACCACCAGTGGTATTTCCCAGCCAATCCTGCATGTTCATGTTCGATTGTTTGGACAGGAGAGTTGAACAGCTGTGATCAATGTACATCCTCTTTGGTAAACTATATTCCTGTAACATGTGATAATTATTAAGCATAATGGAAAAATGTATCACTATCAAGAATTTGGGAACTTGATAGATCTTTCCATACCAAATCATAATTCTTGAAATTTAGTAAAATAATTCTAGTATATGAGGTGTCATACTAGCTAGGAATAATAGAATATAATGATGCTTTTGATGATGTAAATTTTAAATTGTTGCCATTTTGGAGATTTCTGTGTGGTTCAAATTGTGTAAAAGTGCATATTTTGTACTGTTAACATGCATCTTTGTCCTGTGTCAAGGGGCATATCCAAGAGTTGAGACATTTAAGCTAGTGTATATACTAAAAATGTAGAAAGTGGTTCAAAGTGCCCACATAAAAATGAAGTGCATACTACCCTCTTTTTCCTGTAAATTTGAATACTGAGTACTTTAATTATGTTAATGTAAAAAGAATTTTGGTATACTCTCCAAAAAAAAAATTGATAGAATTTAAATTTCCACCCTGTGATTTTGGATTATTACTTGGTAGTGTATTCTTGGAGTACAGCTACATGTGTGTGGTTTCTAAGACTGGCCTATATGATTTACAAGTTGAATGATATTTGATGCCTTGCAATGCAATTACTGACTTGGAGATTAACACTGGAATGCAGATGACATGCCTCCTGAAGTGCTAGTTTTATTATTTGTACTGAAATGGATACTATAAGAAATTTTACATTACAGCAAAGAAACATATCATATTCTCCACATGTCCTGGAGAAAGAAGTGATTATTAAACTTTGAATGAGTACATATAATTCACATGTAATTCAATATTTTATAGAACATGAAACAAGTAAAAGGTGATCCTCTCTTATAAATTAAACCTTGGGATTCTAATCAGGGACCCGCTGTGTCTTTTATAACTTCTGAATTCCCGTGGACAAATTCTGAACTTTCCTGTAACAGGATAATCGTACATAAATACCATATTGCCATTTAGTTTACTATTATTTCAGTAATGCCACTGACAAGTACTGACCAATCATATCGAATGGTTAAATATAAAATACATGGTTACTGTCTTGAAATATAAGCGATATTTGGGTGAGGGTAAGAAAACGTGATAGAGGGCGAGGCTTGTCGAGCCCTCTATCACGTTTTCGACCCGAGCCCAAATATCACTTATATTTCAAGACAGTATCCATGTATTTTGTTTATCCTGCAACATATTTTTACATGACCTCCAAAACGAGCTATTTTCAATCGTTTTAGGTACATCTCCTCTGCATTTGAAACTAAGACGCCATGGCGTAAACATTGCAATATTCATGACGTCACAATGCTTTTAGAACGTCGGAATACATCCACGAGGCTTTATTAGGGCATTGATCGAATAAAGCTTTGGTTTATTAGGTTACCTTTATTAGGTCAATGCAAGGGGTAGTTGCAGGATAAATATGATTATGCAGTAAACAATGATCAAAGTGGTCAGTCAAAGCCTGTTTTATTTCTTATAATGTCGATTGTAATAGCAATTTCCAAAATACTTTTTGCTCTTAAACCTTAATATGAGAAAGGTCCCCCCACTTTTTTTTTACATAATTAGTTTTTACTGTTGAAAATGTGGAGCGAAAGGCTTGTTGCCCCTCTCCTACTTTTTGTTGCGGTATAGGTAAATCATGGCAATGTGGTGTAATGTATGAATGAAATAAAATGTGGTTGTGCTTGGTTGTGAAAAGAAACCACTCTCCTCTCTAAGCCCAAACCGACCATGACAAGTATTTAAATTCATCATCTGTCTAGTGAGTTTAAATCTCCTATAAATAGTACTAGTAACTAAGGGCCTACATTCGGAATTTCAATATTCACAAAGCAAAAATTGTATGAAAGAAAAGTTTGGACATTAAATTTGACAAGCGTATTTACTTGAGGCAGTGTAGCCTTTCTAGTTAATTTTCTTGTACATGTATTATCTCTATCAGGTCATGCAATTAACAACTGAACATTACACATGATTGTAAGAAGTAAAACGGGCTTTATAACTAACCATTGTGATGCTGTTTATTATAAATGATGTACTTGTAAACAATCATTTAATGTGATTATTATCAGTGATATTGTTGGGTTCATGTTTCATATGCAAAGTAGTATTAATTTTGTCCAATCAATGAGCAATATGGTCATCAATTAAAACATTTTACCACTCTCGATCAAGAAAACCAACTCACTGTTATTGAAATGATAGTAGTATGACTCAGTCCATCATGAATCTGAAAAGAATTTTATTTGCATTTTTTACATTTTATTTCTTCCAGACTGAACGTTATGTACTATATGAAATTTTAATTAGCTCTGAAGGTCTGTGTCTGTCTTTAGAGCAATGTCAGCTTTGCCTTGTTTATTTTTATTAACATGATTGAGGTCTTCTCTCTTCACGGAAAACCTTATAATGATTTTACTGTTAAGTGTTTCTTATTATCATGATGATTAATTTTTTTTTGTCAAATTTTGTGCATGCAATTCCTCAAAAACTAATCAATGGTTTTTAAAGAAACTTTTAGGAATACTGGGCATTAGTATGAAGTTGTTTATCAGAAGAAAAAATTGATAAAAATAATGATTCTGATTTCAAGTTTGGGACAATTTTCTGATTTTAAAGAAAATTTATCAGTGTCATTCCCCAAGAATGGCTGAATTTTCAGTGTGAAACTTACTGACATTGTAGGTAATGACAAGTAATTGTGCAATCACTATTTTCTATATGCTGTGGCTACTTCAGGTAGTCAAAGAAATGATTTCAAAGTTTGATTTTTTAGAACTTTTAATTTAAATGTTTTTCTATCATATCAGTAGGGGTAATAAAGAGCCTTATCAGAATGCTCAATATTTATTTTAATTTAAAATTGATTGATCCATTTTCTAGATATTCGTCACTTTCCATTTAAACCATTCACCTTTGTAGTGGTCATCTGTGTGAAAAGTCAGCATATCCAATACAAAGGCAAACCTCAGCATGAAAAAAAAATTTGGTCATGACCAGATTTGGAAAGTAAAAAAATCTGGTCATAATGCATAACGACATTCACATTTACCATGATTACATTTAGGAATGTTTTTAAGTTTTTTGTGAGTTATTGGTGTGTAAATCACACAGACTTGTCACATAGGCATATTTCATGAAGCACGCTAAATATTTACATTTTACATGTTCAAAAGCACCAAAAATATACTCAATGTTTGAATTATTCACTGCCATTTATTGTTACATTTTTATTAACGTCTCTGTAGCTCATTGTGACGTCACTTTAGTGCGAGTTTCTCTGTGCATATTTCTACGCATGCGTATGCACGAAAAATGGCATTCAAATCAATTTCACAGTTGGCTAATCGTAGAAAAACACAGCAAATGTAAATATTAAAAATTAACCTTTGTAACTTACAATGGAAAAATTTGAATATTCCTTTCAAATCATTGATGAAATTTACATGTTAAAAGGGCTTTGAAGGTTTCATTGTTTAAAATGATGAGAATCGTGTGCATTTTTTTTAAATATTGAAAGCCCTTTCAGAATATGCATTGCTGATTGGAAGGACATAAAAAGTCTGAGCTAATTTTGAACAGCTGTTGAAAGTAAAGTCTTGGTTTTTAAGTTGTTGTTTTTTTTTAAATCCAGAACTAATAAACAAATGCAATATATATTTAATATACAGTTAGCCTCACACTATCTTCGATCACTTTATATAAGGAAAGTTGTTTTCCAAGACTCTTTGATAAGTACATAAATATCGTTTTGTTGACCAGTGTTGTTCCTGCTGGTCCTGATAACGGTTCACCCTGATAACTATCTTGTTGTTCTATCGGAAGCCACTTTATAATGACTTCAATTTTGGTTAGGCTTAGTCAAAACAACTCCCAGTCCCAGATAATCGTTAACACCTGCACTGATAATTTACCAGTACACAGCATACTGTAACATGTGAACATAAGCTATCGGCATTGTTTATGTAATGGGCTCATTGTTTTGGTAATGTGTTTGTAACTGGAAATCGAAAGTGCAAACTAATTTACAAACCAAATCCGGAAATCGGGAGATTTTCGGGTTGTTGGACAAGCATCCCGGGTAATAAAAAATAATCGGGTTACGGGTTTAAAAATAAAAAAAACCCAGATCGATTGAAATGGAACCTAGATTGTCAAAATGAGGAAAATTTAATCGACAGTTTCATATATTTTTGAGAGGTCAAAGGTCAAATATTGTGACTTTGACCTTTACTCTGCATAAAGGATGGAGACTCGTTATATCAAGTCTCTATTGCTATTAAATCAAAAGTTACTTTACATTTAATAACAGACTGTCATATAGCAATTGTATATAGATGGCATAAACACATTTAACATTCTAAAATGTAGGTTCACCCCCCCCCCCCCCAAAAAAAAAATATGGCAAAAACATATAACAGCTTATATTTTTTCTTACAAAAATAATTGATTATTGACATTATAGAGATATATTATCCTTTTTTTCTAGTGTACAAGAAATGAGTTAAATCGGGTTTCAGGGTGTTTTGTACTATGTACCTTAAATTTATGTTTGTATCTTGAAAATCATGCTGGTATTTTTTCAATTGAATTATGTATTATTTCTACACTATGCATGTGTGTGATAAGTGAATTGACCTTCAGAATTGAAATAGACTTAAAACATTAATGTTTGCCTTGAAATGCTTTGAAAATCAGTATATAAACACATATAGTGGTGTAGTCAATATTATTTGGGTGAATTGGCTTGAGAGCCAGCACATGCATGTGTGCTACAATCTAATTGGCTGACAACAAATCTCAATAACTTTCATGTTTTGACGAAATAATTTAAAATTTAAAACATAAGTATATGTATTACAAGGTTCTACATTTAGGGAAACATTCATTATGAATGTGTGCTTATATAATAATTGGATGAAACTTGATATTTAATACATAAGTATATAGAGAGGCAAAAAGGAGTTTATGTTAGGAAAATTTAGTACTTTTTTCATTCTTTAGAAACAAAAAATAATTGCATTCACTGAAATTTTGTTTAATATCTTTTCTTGTTTTTTTCCCAAAAGCATTACAATTTTCACATCTTGGGTCACCTTGTGATCTGCTGGTGAATAGGTGCAAGGTTTACATGAACATTGACACACTAAGGGGAAAATTTTCCAGTTGGGTGATTTTATTTCTTTGAGGGTCTTTGTATATCACAATCTGATTTTATCACATGAATTTCCTTTTGTCTCATAATGTACAAATGAATATTAATGTTCTGTTTAAAGTTATACTTTGATATTGCCTTTCTAGTTTAAAAGAAAAAAAAAGATGTACCACTATACAGGGGCCTCATGTATTATTTTGAAAAAGGAAAGGCATTTTGTTAAAGTACATACTTTTAGCTTACCTAATGAATGGGTTCAAGTGAGGTTTTGTAATTAAAATTTTGATCATCTGTAACACATTGTCTGTCTGTCTATCTGTTAACTTTTCATTTTTTCAACTCGAGAATCAACCAAACTTTCCACAAAGCATCTTTGGGTGAAGTGGATTCAATTTTTTTTAAATAAAAGACCATGACCTTTCCAAGGGGAAATAATTTAAAAAGGCATAAGATGGGTGGGTAGGTGTCTTAAAAATTCTTCAAAGCTGGGCTACAAAAAGTAAAAGCTTCCTGATATTGGATATTGTGTAGATTCAAGTTTGTTCAAATCATGGCCCCCAGGGTAGGGTTGGGCCAATGGAGGATCAAACTTTTACATGGAAATACTGGTATATAAGAATTCAAAGATCTTTAAAAATCTTCACAAGAACAACAGAGCCATGATTAGTCATACAAATATGCAGGCAGGTAGTGCTGGTTCACTTGACCCCAGGGAGAAGGGTGGGGCCACAATAGGAAATCAAATTTTTACATTGTAATATGTAGGGAAAAAAATCTTTAAAAATCATCTTAATTACAGTAGGGCAATGACTAATCATATTAATATGTAAATATCCTCAGGTAGAGCTTATTCAAGGCTCTTCAAATCATGGGCATGAGGGGTAGGAGAGGGCAGGATAAGGACTAAGGAAATAAAAAATTTACGCGATAATATATGGAAAAAAAAATCTTTAAAAAATCTTCCTTTGAAGAACAGCAGAAATACAGTGATTCAGGTGATCGTTGTAGACCATGAGCCTCTTGTTCAGTAATATTTCATATAAATATGTATTTACTGCCTCTATAATCTCACTAAAGCCTTAAGATGCTAAATAATTGAACATCTTCATGATATTTTTTGTGTTTATATAGTCAGTATTACAATGTAACTTATTAGGTTTTATTATCCCTGGAGTTACAATTGTTCGGTTTTACCTTATGGAGAAGTAAGCATCTTTCTTTTCCCTTTGATTCCAGTTTTATGTTATTTTTAAGCTTCAACCCGATTATAGAACAGACATGCTATCCTGAACAAAATTTATAAACAATGGTAAATGTATGAACTATCAAAGACATGTATATCAATGCATTTCTTTCAAAATATACATGTACAGAAAATAATGAGAAATTAATTGAGTAATACAACCCAGGTTAGTGTTTCAGCTCATAGGCCTCTTGCAAAATATCATGGGTTTATATATCTAGAATTTACTTTGCATTTCACTTGGTCATGTTCAGAGGTACTTATTTGGATTAAGTGGTACACATGCAAACAAGATGGTATTTAAAACAAAATTATCTCTGAATCAAATTTAGAATGTTACCAAGAGGTACATCTGTAGTTAAAATGATGCACTGCACTTTCTCACACCTTTTTACTATAAAATGAATAGGATTTTCTCTTTTCAGGTAGCAAAAATGTGTTTGCCAGGCAGTTCTAAACTTTGTTTTGTTTGCTTGATGGTGTACATGTCGACATGGCATCCTAGCATAGGAGGAAACCCAGTCCAAGAAAATGCAGAAGGAAACATCCCTAAAAATGGAAGTGAAGAAACTTTGTACACGTCGGTGAAAAACGATCATATAGGAATTCATGATCATAATGATATGCAAATTCAGGAAGACCATTCCAAAATTCATGCCCAAGGAGATTATTACTATGAAAAACTGATAGAAAAATATGGAGAAAATGGGAGTCTTAGGCTTGAAGGGCTGCAAAAGATCTTGCAGAATATAGGAATATATAATATTGAAAATACAGCTGAAAAAAGTCTTGATAAACATGACAACCATGAACTTCATGAGGACCATGAACATGATGAACATGAGCATGAACATGGTGATGAAGTTCAGGATAATAGACCAAAACGATCAGCAATTAAAAAGTCAAAATCAAAACAGAAATTAATTCGAAGGAAAAGATCAAGTAAAACTATCTCCGATTCTATGGTAAGATCTACATTTTAGTAGTAGTGAATCTACATTTAATTCATTCATATTTATGTTGCTTACCCATGTTTTCTACAGAGGGTCTGTCTTTCTCTTTTTGTCAACACAGCTCGATCATTTCTTCATGTTCTTGAATACTTTTATCAGCTCACCTTGAGGAAGTTGAGCTTTTGCTGTACTCCCTGTGTCAGTGTTGGTGTCAGTATTGGCATGCCAGTTCAAGTTTTAGGAGCAGGTCTCATTCTCAAGTAACTATAAGCCCTTCCTGGACCAAAATTGTATGGATCATGCATCATGGGATGTACATAAATGGAGTTGCTTCGGATGCAGGATTTGACATACATGTCCCTGATAAGAGACTAGGTTAAAGTTTGGAGTAGATTAAAGCTTTTGAAAGAAGTTAAAGTTTTAGGAGCAGTCTCATTCCCAAGTAACTCTAAGTCATATTTGGACCAGACTTGCATTGATGATGCATCTTGGGATGCATATTATCAGATTTGATTTGGATGCTCGATATGACCTACATTTTCTGGATGAGTAAACAGGTCAATGTTTTTGGAGCAGGTTCATTCTGAAGTATTTGTATGCCCTAGCTGGGCCAAAGTTGCATGGATCATGCCTAATTAAGAGATGCATATACCACATTTGCTTCAGATGCTGGATAATCGACCTACATTTCCAAATGAGTAAATGGCTAGAGGATCTGACTTCATTTACACAGTGATTGAACAGAAAAAAAAACCATTTGGAACAGGTCCATTTTTAAGTATCTATAGATCCTACTTAAGTTTCTATAGATCCTACTTTAACTAAGCTAGTACAGATGTTGTATATACTATATAGGGAATCAGGTTTGCTGTGAAATTTTGCCTTACTTATAGATAACATTCATCAAGGTGAGCTTTGTAATCTTTGATTACCTATGTTCAAAGTAATGACAATTTTGAAATAATACGAATACATGTAATTGGAATCAAAATTGGCCTGTATATGGAATCTTTCACTAACTAAGTGGAACTGAAGACAGCAGATGTTTTTGAATGAACTTATTATAGGGTCAAACACTTGCATTGAGTATGGGGATTATGTATCCTCCTGATGGTATCTCCTTTTTAATTTTAGTGCATTAAAACCCCAGAGGATCTCATCCAAATCTACTCTAATAACAATTCCCTGGTGTTGTCCAAGCCAGCATTGTCTGACATATGTGCAGGGATTCTTGTTATGTTGGACAAATCTTCATGCTGGAATGGTTCAACATTTCCCAAGATGGAAGACTGTGATAATCATGATCATCATAATCATGAGGAACATCAAGAAGCGGAAAGCTACAGTGTGGAAAACATTCCTCCTACTGGTTAGTACATCAAAATTCATTCTGTTTAAAGGGCAAAAAATATGTAAAATCATTCTTCTTCTCAAAAACAGCAGGGTCATGATATGGCAGCTTCCTCAGGTAATGTAGATACAAGTTAGTTCCACTCATGGTCATGGGGTGGGGCTACAATTGAGGATCAATGAAGGAATAGGAAAAAAATCTTCAAAAAATTGTTTGCATGAAGGGGGGAGGGGTCATATGAAATATATTATACAATATTCTTATTTCTTTTACTTATGAATTTATAGGGGGCAACCTGCACAATATGATAACAAGTAAATAGTTCTTATCAAACTGTAAAATGTATGTGATATATGTCTAAGCCAGTTCCAGGTTGGCCCAAAGTGTTAAAAGCCTGAAAAACTCATTATACTCAGGTTATGGTTAAGGCCCATGGGCTATTTTTGTGATTCCTAGAAATTAAAGTCAATAGATTCATAATCCAAGAAAAAAAGTGAAAAACTGATGCTCCCATTGCCAAGGTTAAAGTTTTTCAAAAGTAGGTCAAAATCCATAGTCAAGGTTATGAGGTCAAAAATGTTGGTACCCAAAGAAAGGTTTTCTCAAAAGGAATACACATGGAAATATGAAAACTCTCCACTTACCGTTCAGAAGTTATGGCCAAGGTTAAAAGTTTTTTTTTCAGAAATAGGTCAAAATCCATAGTCAAGGTAAAGAGGTAAAAAATGTTGGTAACCAAAGAAAAGTCTTCTTAAAGGGAATAAGCTTGTGAAATATGAATGCCAAAGCATCAACCACTCAGAAGTTATGACCAAGGTTATAGTTTTTCAAAAGTAAATCAACCTCCAATGTCAGATCATGAAATCAGAAATGTTGGTACCCAAAGAAAGGAAGAAAGTTGTCACAAGGAATACACATGCAAGCTCTAGCTCCAATCATTCAAAAGTTATAGCCAAGATTTAAGTATTTCCAGACAAACAGACCAACAAATGGATGGACAGACCCAAAAGTTATTTGACATCACATTATGCTAGGTAATATTAATGTGTGAGTGTTTCATGCATTAATAATGTATAGATAGTTTTAAAGTATATTTAAATTAAAAGGTTCCACAAAGTGTGCAAATTAGTAACAAGTTTTTCTCCAAAACTCTCATTCCTTAACTTTTAATTGTCAATAGACACTCAGCAAGCCTGGTGCCTGTTTGTAATTAAAAAATAAAGGAACTCAAGTTGGAGAATGAGAAAACAGAGGCTTAATTAACCTGAACTGGGTAGCTGCTATGTTCTTTTTTTTTTAACAGTATGGGGTTACAGTATTCTGGCAACATTTGTCATCAGTCTGGTGGGGCTTCTTGGAGTAGCAGTCATTCCTATCATGCAGAAGGTCTTCTACAACCACCTGCTACAATTTCTGGTGGCTCTGGCTGTTGGGGCCCTCGCAGGGGATGCACTCTTACATCTTATACCTCATGTAAGTATATATATATATATATTTCATATGATATTTTATGATCCTGATGAAATGTCATTTAAACAAGTCAAAGTCACAGAATTCAGAAGTGTCAAATTTTGAAGGTTTCAAAAATAAGAATTTTTATGCCCTGCCAAAAATACATGTATGGCTTGGGCATATATTGTTTGTCATGTTTATTTTCTATCATTCCATTCTTTTCTTCCTTCTGTCCATTCATCACACTTGGCATTTAAAAGGGTTTTTTTTACTTTGACCTTGACCTCATTTTCCTTAAATTTTTGTTAGCTCAGTTTAAAATAAACAAACTATTCACAATTTTTTGTAAACAAACTTCATATCCTGATACATATTACTTAGAGCTCATCCACTGCATCAGCATTTTTGGACCTTGACTTCCCTTTGACCTTGACCTCACTTTTCTTAATTTGCATTTAGCTCAGTTTCAAAGAAACAAAAGAAATTATTTAAATCAAACTTTAGATATTTTTATCTAAACACATGCACTGATACCTATTGGTGAGAACTTATCAATAGTGTCCAAATTCTTTTACCTTGACCTTTTTTTATGACCTTTGCCTTTACTATTTGCTGTGTTTAAAACTCAGTTACAAAGAAATTGTTCAAGATATTCTCATCAAACTTCATACCTAATACTGATTGGTAAGAGTTACTCAACTGTTTTACAATTTTCTGACCTTCACCTTTCCTGTGACCTTGACCGCACTAATTCTCATTAATCCTAATCTCGAAAAGAGACAATTTACATTTCTTTTCATGTTGCATTACTTATGTACCCTGGGGAGGGCATTCATGTCCTTTGGACATATTTCAAGTTAAAGAATGTGTTCATTGGACTTCATCAGAAATTATGTATGCAAGATGCTACAAAGAAAAAAAGTAGTTTGAATTCACCACTATGCCGTATACATTCTGGATTAATATTGCACAGATCCAAACATCTTGTGATTGTTATCATTTAAATGTATATTTTACCTTTTTTATTCATGAATATTTATTACTTCCGTACCTGAGGACTGGCAGGTACAGTTTTATAAAGTCATTGTACCTAGATGCATCGTCTAATGCTTCTGAAACTAAGATGTTACAACTTTTTTTTTTGTAAAACCAAAGCCTTATAACATGTTTATCCTCTGTTAACAACTTAACATTGTTTACATATATATTGAAGATACAATGTACCTTTATTTCATAGTACATGTACAATGTACATTACATGTATTATGGTGATACTAATATGAGACAACAGAGAGAATCATAGAGTGAAAGTAAAAATTCACAATGTTTATGTAGTCAAACATTGTTATCTGGAACTCAATGGGACCAAGAAAAAAAAAAGTTGATATATCAGAGGGTTCCAGATATTGAGGTTAAAATACTGAAAGAAAAAAGTGCTTGGGACTTCCAAATGACTTCAACATATCCAGGGTATTCAAAATATCAGTGTTTGAGAAACCAAAGTTCAGCTGTATTTATACTTGTAAAGTTGTAATTTGAATGGTGGAAAATAAAAAAAAAAACACCTTTTTTTTCATTCAGCAAAAATGGAGGGCTTCTCAACGCACATAAATTCAAGCACCTTAATTAAAAAGCGATAACCCTTAGGCTAGCAAGATTTTTTAAACTAATCAGACCGGACGATGTAGTTTTGATATCCATACCAAAATTAAAACCTAGAGAATATGCAAGGTTCCCGTCAGCTGTGCAAAGGGAGATAACTCTTCCATGATAATTTTTGAAATTAATAGAAAATATGCACATATTGCTTTGGTACATAGATAAATTCTTAATTATGCAACTTTTGCTCCTTGACCTTTAACCCCAATTTGAATCACCAATTTCAAGTAAACCCTGATTAAATATTGTCTGAATAATTTTCTCTTGACAGGCATTTTCAGGGGAGACCCACCAGCATGAATCCGATGATAAACATGCTGCTGACAGCAAGACAGGGGTTCTGAAAGGCCTGGTTGGACTGTTAGCTGTCTATTTCTTCTTTATAATGGAGAGACTGGTTACGTTCCTCACCAACTCAAAACGAAAGCAGAAAAAAGTATGAATTCGAAGTTTTGTAAAGTTTTCTTTCAAATGCTTTTATTACATCATCCTGCTTCAGACAAATTACAATGAAGAAATAATTTTAATCTGTTTAAATTGATTTGCTTTCTTTTACTGGTCTTTTTTTTTTTCCTGCAATGATTTTAGCTCTACTGGTCAGAGACCAGAAGAGCTTATTCGATTGTAAGGTGTCCGTTGTCCGTCTCTCTGTCTGTTTGTTTGTCTGTAAACAATTTATCAAAATGCTACTCCTCCATCAGTTTTGGTCCAGTTTTAGTATAATTTGCTCCATAAGTACACTACACTAAGATAATCAGTCTTTTTATCGGGTTTTGATTTTGATGAATGATGTTGCCATGGTTACTAAAAATAGAAATTTCTGTGAAATTTTTTCACTGCTACTCCTCCTACAGTTCAAGTCTGATTTCTATACAACTAAGATACATGATTCTGTTTATCAGTTTTTGATTTTGATTAACGATGTTGTCATGGTAACTAAAAATAGAAATCTTTGTGAAATTCTTTCCAAACGCTACTCCTACTACAGTTTTAGTCCAATTGCAATTAAACGTGACTCAGAAAGAGACTAAAACAAGGATCATTATTTTATTTTTTGCTGTTGCCAAAATTTCAAGTCTAAGTGCTACCTTTCTCTACATTTATTAATTAAGTAAAAACCAGTAGAGCTCAATCTTGTTAGAGACTTCTGGTTAAATATCAGCCTTTCCCAAAAACTGACTTCTTGACCTCTTGACCCAGGGCTTAGGTCCAGACTACTTATAGGATTAAAAAAAAAAAAAAAAAAAAAAAAAAACAGGAGAGGTTTTAAATCTTGTCTTGATGTAAATACATTTTATGAAGTCTTCCAGTAAAAAGGTTTAGAAGTATGATAAGCTATTAAAGGGATACGTGTATCAAGAGAAGAACATATAATATTTATTCTTTCTTCTTATATTTTTAAGTTTGGCTTCAAATTTCATTCCACAATATACAATTATGGACACTTTAGATAGTTAATATGTTTTGATATTCACTAGAAAAATACCAATATTGACAGAGGTGAAGCCAAGATCTATATTTGATTTTCATATTTTTCTGGTGAAAAAAAAACATATTAACCACCAAATAAAACCCATAATTGTTTTAATACAGTCAAGCCTCGTTATCTTGAACTCGATAGGACTGAGAAAAAACTTTGAGATATCTAAGGATATGAGATATTGAGGGTAAAATACTTAAAGAAAAAGTGGTTGCGACTTTCAAATCACTTCAACATATCCATGGTATTCGAGATATCGGTGTTTGAGATACCAAAGTTTAACTGTATTTGGTTTGGAATTGAATAAATAAGACATTGAAGGCTAAACAAATTTTTTGGGCAGAAAGATTCAAAATATCCAGATTAAAAATTATAAAAATCCATGTTCAAATTTTGTTCTCTAGATTGTAAGACATCACTTCTCTTTGGTATGTATAGATAATTATTCTCCAAAAGGATTTCAAAACATTTTTCATATTCAGTTGCACAGCTGGCTCCAACCATCACAGCTATTGTTTACAACATTATTTGATTTGGCATTTTGTAATGTTTATGATGTCACAATTGCTGCTTCATTGGCGCTTCATGTGCACCAACTCTCTGGTGAATATGACTTCATTAAATGGGACATTTGATTCTATTGCCTAATATTTTGGTATGTATTTTAGAAAAAGCATCAAGAGCACAGTGTTCACTTTACAACCAATGGTAATGCCCTGAGTCCCAGTACCCCCACAGAGCCAGACTGTGGATCATCAGTGCTACGCATTCATCCCACAGGGAAAGGTTGGTATATTATTATAATGTCTGTTAAGGTTACAGTAGTAATGACTGAACGTCTCAGAAGTGGATAGCTAGATATTTCCCATCGGTATTCATAATAAAAAGTCAAGATACATTTTTAGAATAGGTCCCCTTTGTCTGCTAGTTACGTAAAGTGATTGCAGTTCTTAAGTTCCTAGATATTGTATGTCAGAAACTGAGTATAAAGATTGAAGAAAGTGAGGTAAAGTTATCTATAGTCTTTACAATTGTGAACATTTTGGTGTTTTATAGTTATAGGTCCAAAGTTCATGCCAAATTTGGCACAAGTAAAAAGAATTCCTTGGATCATACTTTAATGTAGCATATTCCATATGAAGTGGATCTCATATTTCTCTTGTAGGTGGATACACATATTTGTGTAGAATAAAATTCGTAAATGGTGAACTTCATTTTAATGGTTTAAGATATGAGGTGATATCTGACTTGGGAGTACCGTATAATCTATGTACTTAATATTTACTTCCAAGTCCATTATCCTCATACCTACCACAATACTTACCTATTACTTATGTTAACATTGTACCACACAGTTTCTGTAAGCAACCTCGAATTAGATACATAATATGAGTATGCATGCCACTCGGAAACTATCATTAAATACTTGATTTTATTGCCTGTTTCCACTCCTGCCTTGTCTCTGTTCCTATTTGATATATCATAAGCATGACACAAAGAAATAGTTCAGAGGTCACATGGGATGCTAAGATGGTTATTAAGGTTTATTTTCCCTTGGAATGGAATTGGTTTGAACATGTTGAATGTGACATGTGACTTTAGAGGAAGATCTTACCCACTCACAAGGCAGTTTATGTTTTTCCCCTCATTTTTGGTGCCCTCATTTTATTTTAAGCTCACCTGAGTCAAAGGCTCAAGTGAGCTTTTCTGATCAAAATTTGTCCATTGTCCTCTTTGTTGTTGTTGTAAACTTTATACAATTTCATCTTCTTCTGCAGAACCCCTATCCAATTTCAACCAAACTTGAATCGGAGTATTCTAGGGTAAAGGGGATTAGTTTGTTCAAATGAAGGGCAACACCCTCTTCCAAGGGAGATAATTAAGAAAGAGTAAAAATTGGGTTGGGTCATTTAAAAATCTTCTCAAGAACCATTGAATCAGAAAAGATTGAACTTACTTGAAAACTTTCTGACATAGTGTAGATTCAAGTTTGTTCAAATCATGACCCCTGGGTCACAATAAGCTATCAAATTTTTACTTAGGAATTTATAGGAAAATCTTTTTCTCAAGAACAGCAAAGCTGTGAATAATCATATTTATATGGAAGCATCATCAGATAATGTTGATTCATATTTTTCAAATCATAACCCCCTAGAGTAGGGTAGGGCCACAATGGGCAATCAAAGTTTTAAGGAATATATAGGAAATATTTTCAAAAATGTTCTTCTCAAGAACAGCATATCTATTATTAGTCACATTAATTCAGAAGCATCCTCAGCTAGTGTAGATTCAAGTGTGTTCAAACCATGTTCCTTGGGACCACAATAGAAGATCAAACATAAAGAAAAAATCAACAGAAATATATCGGATCAATCTTGTAGACAGTGGGGCACTGCCTCGCCATCTATGAGATTGATCAACCTGATATATTTCTGTATACAGTCAGTAACTAACCTAATAAGTAATAGAACCCTGTATGTTGCTAGTATGGTTATTACATATAGTGACAAAAATATGACAAATGTAGTTGTGACGTGAACCGGCGAGTTTTCCTTTGAATTCAGCCGTACAATAACTGCGATACAGAACACTTTTAGTGGGCGTTTCTTATGCAAATGAGCAGAAACTGTACTGTATCTGCAAAATATTAACGATACAGTACGGTATATTTTTAGCGATGACGGAAAACGGAATCCGTATCTTAAATAATATAGACATAAGAATCAATCAAATCGCATGATAGTGCTGTTAGTATTTATTCAAAATTTGAGATGAATTAAGAATAGAATTTTACAACGTAAAGTTACTAGTGGCAGATTCAAAACTTTTAGAAAGGAGGGAGTGGGGCAATACACAAATGGTTTTCTTCGAAAAAAAAAATGTCCAAACTGGAAAATCGGGGGTTTCATGGGGGGTACATTCATAATCAGGCCTGACACTATATGTGTGTGATCGTTTCGTGTTGATAAATTATAAGTGTATGTACAAGTTAAGCAAACATAATTTACGAAAGCCAAAAAGAAAAAAAAATCAGGGGGGGGGGGGGGGATACATGTACCGACTCTCGCGAGTGAGTGCTGGATCTGCTTTTGGTTCCTCTACATTTTGTTTCAAACATGAAGGTAATATGCTCCCTTTCTTACATCTGTTTATTTCAATTTGGAGACAAGAATTTTGTATACACCTGTATGATGACCGGTCGATGACATTGTCGGACATTTCTCTCAGAATACAACCTTCCCGAAACATTTTTGCTTCAAATACATTCCAATATATGATTCTTATGTATCAAAGTGTTTTGGACTAAATTCGTAGCTTAGATTTTAAAAAAGTCAACAAAAGCTAAATAGAAAGGAAAAAACTACGCAATCAAATATAAATTAAATTTTGGGAAAACACATTATATAATGCATCTCATAATTACAATTATTTAAATTGATAGATACCTGCACGTCCACCTCACTCGGCATTTCAGTTGCGATTGCTAAAAATGGGGTACTAAATCAACTTTCTGCAAAATCATCTGGTTGGTTGAGAGATACATACCCAAATACACATGTAAATTAGTGAGGTCATAAGAAAGGTCATGTCACAAGTCATTTAGAATACTCGTTTCCTACTGTATTGGAGATACAGGGCGGGGCCCAGCTCGAGCTATCGCTCTCGCCTTAAGCCCCGCCTTGTATCTCCGATACAGTAGGAAACTCGTACTCTAAATATAACATGTTAGTAAGTAAGCACTATATGAATAGCCCAGTTGAATTTATAATCCTTCTTTCTTGATTAAAAAGGTGATATTGATCAAAATTAAGCATTATGAAAAAGAATTACTTTATCTATAAAACTGTCCCTCATGCTCTAATTCAGTGACCTTTGTTTTATAATTCACCATGTTTGTCCTGTCTTTTTCTTCCTCTCACCTGCCCTTCCCATTCTGTGTTTATCTCAGGTCCAAAGTCACCATGAAAAGCATTATCATCAAAATCCACAAACAGGAAATATGACTGCAAACTTTATTTCATGGCATGGATAAATCAACACACACACACACACACACACACACACACACATATATATATTAGGGATGTCAACGAGTACCCGGTTAACCGGGTACTCGATTGAACGTCCGAGTATCGAATACTAAAAATGGTACTCGGTTACCCAGATGTGTATTTTTTCTTATTATAAAGTCTATATTTTTATTAAAAAACTTATCAAAAAATAACTTCAATATGCATATATACGGGTAATTAGCGTGTTGTCATCTACACATGTAAAAACACGTTATCGCCTATGGCTGTGTATATACAGTAATTAGTGACCAATCACCTGTTCTCACCTATTGTGGTCCTTAATTTTTTGACAGCTTCAATGATTGTTTTCCAGTGAACGTCATTTAGAATGTTCTATTATCTTCAAATCATTTTTAAATTATTTAGTTATTATACGGCAGCGAAATCAGACATTCATAGAAATGCTGCTAACCACTTCAAAATAAGCAAAGATTCCTAAAAAAATGTTTAAAGTCAGTTTCCATAGTAAGTTTAGTGTAACCAACATATGAAAACATATTAGACTAGCGATCCAAACAACGTCCGTTCCTTCTCTTTCGCTAGTCTAATCATCACAAACCTGCGTAACAGAGTGTCCTCCTTTTGATGAAATATAGATTCTAAACAAGAACTATAAACCATTTGCAATTTTTGATGTATTAATTGCGTCATTTGTGTTCATTTGATAAATAAAATAAAATAATTTCCATTTGACTCCATGTTAATAAACATTCATTAAACGTGATAAAAACAGCTTTTGGGTTTAACAAATTAACAATTAAAAATTAACAAATTTAATATTTACATTTTTACCGAGTACCCGGGTACTCGATCGGAAAAACGTCCGAGTAACCGATTACCAAAAATTGACCGATTTGACATCCCTAACATATATATATACATATATATATATATATAAATCACTAAAAACCAACAACACTGTATATCCTAAGTGTCGGATCTACTAAGTAGATACAAGGTCACGGATGGAAATTTATATAAAGCACTAAAAATGACCAACGACACAAACAATAATAATTGTCAAATTTTTGGGACAACCTGTCCCTTCCTCAGGACAAAGAAAAAAGTTAAGAAGTCATAAAAACAAAGGAAATAGAGAAGCAAAAACAACTAGCACTACTACTAAACTACCAAACACTAAATATTTACAAGGTTACATGTTTAATTTGGAGTTTATAAACAGTTGTGAACAAAGAAATCCGGAGCGCTATGAATTGCATCCGGTCTATTGGGTGTACTCGGTGAAGTGTGATTTACATAACGGAACGAATTAATTATCGCTAATTAATTACGGCCAACAGTAAATCGTACATTGTCTCATTCTCTCAAAATAGCGTAACTCTACATGATAAAAAGAAATTAAAGAAAGATAATATGGAAGGACAATTTTGAGATATGAATTTGGATATATTATAAATTTGGAAATCGGAAAAAAGAAATAAACAAAAATGTGAGCTGTAAATATTTGGGTTGGTTGTTCCAGGATTATTAATACGAATTAACGGTAAAGTTTACACTATATAGAGACAATGAACTTGTTTGTTACGATTCGGGATTGGGTCTAGTTCACGTGAAGTCATTAAGTTTGTTAATACCATTAGGGCGGAATGACTTCAGCCTGTGCATCCAGAACTTTTCCTTGCCTTTTTCTCTGCGCGTCTGTCCATCTTGGATTATGGTCAATAACCACTACTGTCATGTCCTCCCATTTGTGACCTTCAAGGTTGAAATGTTCCCCAACGGGTTCATTGAGTTTTTTGGTCCTAATGGTAGAACGGTGATTATTGACTCTCCTGCGGAGATCTCCTGTTTCACCAACATACTGTTTGGAGCAAACTTTGCAGCTGATGAGATAAATGCAGTTGTCTGTTTGACAGGACAAATTCCCTAGTATTTTGTAGCTGCGGCCTGTAACGGGGCTGTTAAAACTGTCTGTGTCAGAGCTGTACTTACAGAGAAGACATCTTCTGTCAGAGCAAGTTTTAAAGCCCCCGTTAGGTAATGGATTGTCCAATCTGGTTCTTACTACCATGTCCTTCAGGTTCCGCGGGCGCCTGTATGCAGCCAATGGGGGCTCCTTAAAGACCTCTGCCATTCGTTTATTTGAGTGGAGAATTGGCAGATTCTTTTGAAGGATACCGCTGAGGTTCTTAAGGACGGGATGGTATGTGGTTACCAGAGGGACCCTGCCGCTATTGTCTTTTTCCTTGTAGCATAATAGGTTTTGCCTGTAATGTCCCGCCATCTCATCAATAGCAGTTTGTACGGTGCGGGCATTGTAGCCTCTCTTGCATAAGTGGGACTTAAGGAGACCGCTTTGTTCTTGATATAAGGCAGGGGATGAATAGATGCGCCGAATTCTGGTGGCTAGACCCTTAGGCACACCCTTAAATGTGTGTGGGGGATGACAGCTAGTAGGCATAAGATACAGATGGGAATCTGTGGGTTTCTGTGTGGAGACTGAACTCGATTTCACCATCAGTCAGGGTAGATGTAGTATCTAGGAATATGTTTTTCGAATTAGATACGTCTACTGTAAATTTGATAGACTGATGAAAGGTGTTGGCAAACGAAATGAATGCCTCGAGGCTCTCGCGAAATTTCACCCACTTCATCTCTATATCGTCAATGAAACGCAACCAGCTAAGGGGCCTAAATGGTGCTTGAAGTAGCAAGTCTGCCCATGAAAATATTGGCATAAGATGGTGCCATTTTCGTACCCATAGCAGTGCCATTAACCTGCAGGTAATGTTCTCCATTAAACATGAAGTTGTTATACTTGAGAACATGTTCAAGGAGCTTGGCAAGGGACTCGGTAGAAGGAATTTGTATGGATCTACTATCCCAGACTTCTCTACAGGCTTCGATACCCTCATCGTGCGGAATATTGGTGTACAAAGATGTGACGTCCATAGTTACGAGAAGGGTATGATCTGGAAGGCCAGTAGAGGGCGTCTTGTTAATGTAGTCCGTGGTGTCCTTGAGATAGGATGGCAAATTCTCTACGTGTGGACGGAGATGTAAATCGATGTATTCAGAAATTTTCTCCGTGGGGTGTCCAATAGCGCTAACTATAGGGCGACCTGGCATACCTTCTTTGTGTATCTTAGGAAGCAGATAAAATTGTCCTGGTCTACAGTCAATAGGATTGAGTGTCTCATAGACATTGATACCAATCTCGTTTTTCTCAAACATTTCGTCAAGAGTTTTGGTGATGGCGGTGGAGAATTCTTTAGTAGGGTCAGAGTCCAGTTTCTTATAGAAATGTTCATCTGAGAGTTGTCTATGGGCCTCCGCCATGTACGTCTCTTTATCAAGCACTACTACTGTAGAGCCTTTGTCTGCTTTCTTGATTACAATGTCATCCCAATTCTTTAATGATTGTAAGGCGGATCTCTCTTCCTTACTCAAATTGTCGGGAGCCTTGTCTGGCATTGAAAGGAGTTTCTCTATGTCTGATTCAACGGCGTCAATATACGACTCAAGGGCTCCGCATTTGCCAGGTGCAGGTTCCCAGTCACTTTTTGGCCGATAGAGTTTGTGTTCCTCTAGGTCTCCACACGAAACCCACAGATTCCCATCTGTATCTTATGCCTACTAGCTGTCATCCCCCACACACATTTAAGGGTGTGCCTAAGGGTCTAGCCACCAGAATTCGGCGCATCTGTTCATCCCCTGCCTTATATCAAGAACAAAGCGGTCTCCTTAAGTCCCACTTATGCAAGAGAGGCTACAATGCCCGCACCGTACAAACTGCTATTGATGAGATGGCGGGACATGACAGGCAAAACCTATTATGCTACAAGGAAAAAGACAATAGCGGCAGGGTCCCTCTGGTAACCACATACCATCCCGTCCTTAAGAACCTCAGCGGTATCCTTCAAAAGAATCTGCCAATTCTCCACTCAAATAAACGAATGGCAGAGGTCTTTAAGGAGCCCCCATTGGCTGCATACAAGCGCCCGAGGAACCTGAAGGACATGGTAGTAAGAACCAGATTGGACAATCCATTACCTAACAGGGGCTTTAAAACTTGCTCTGACAGAAGATGTCTTCTCTGTAAGTACAGCTCTGACACAGACAGTTTTAACAGCCCCGTTACAGGCCGCAGCTACAAAATACTAGGGAATTTGTCCTGTCAAACAGACAACTGCATTTATCTCATCAGCTGCAAAGTTTGCTCCAAACAGTATGTTGGTGAAACAGGAGATCTCCGCAGGAGAGTCAATAATCACCGTTCTACCATTAGGACCAAAAAACTCAATGAACCCGTTGGGGAACATTTCAACCTTGAAGGTCACAAATGGGAGGACATGACAGTAGTGGTTATTGACCATAATCCAAGATGGACAGACGCGCAGAGAAAAGGCAAGGAAAAGTTCTGGATGCACAGGCTGAAGTCATTCCGCCCTAATGGTATTAACAAACTTAATGACTTCACGTGAACTAGACCCAATCCCGAATCGTAACAAACAAGTTCATTGTCTCTATATAGTGTAAACTTTACCGTTAATTCATATTAATAATCCTGGAACAACCAACCCAAATATTTACAGCTCACATTTTTGTTTATTTCTTTTTTCCGATTTCCAAATTTATAATATATCCAAATTCATATCTCAAAATTGTCCTTCCATATTATCTTTCTTTAATTTCTTTTTATCATGTAGAGTTACGCTATTTTGAGAGAATGAGACAATGTACGATTTACTGTTGGCCGTAATTAATTAGCGATAATTAATTCGTTCCGTTATGTAAATCACACTTCACCGAGTACACCCAATAGACCGGATGCAATTCATAGCGCTCCGGATTTCTTTGTTCACAACTGTTTATAAACTCCAAATTAAACATGTAACCTTGTAAATATTTAGTGTTTGGTAGTTTAGTAGTAGTGCTAGTTGTTTTTGCTTCTCTATTTCCTTTGTTTTTATGACTTCTTAACTTTTTTCTTTGTCCTGAGGAAGGGACAGGTTGTCCCGAAAATTTGACAATTGATTATTGTTCGTGTCGTTGGTCATTTTTAGTGCTTTATATATATATATATATATATATATATATATATATATATATATATATATATATATATATATATACACGCACACACACACACATATTACTGATGAAAGCCATCGATTTAGACAATACCTAATGACCTCTCTGACAGCTCTTTCAGTATTAAGGATTATTTATAGTTTTCATGATATTTTTCTTTTGTCATATTCTGACATTAGCTCAGAGTAAAGTAACAAGGTTCATTTTTTTCACACTGCATAAGAACTGTTATTATTGGGCAAGTCATTCATGACTTGTGGCAACACTTGTATTTAATAATTAAATGCTGTAAGGAAGATGCTACAGTGATGATGGTACATTTATCCTTAATTGTTTTATTGTACAAACTGTCATCCATTTCAGCCTTGGAGAACTATGCTGTTGAGTTCCACAAAGAAGAATGTAACCTTCTGAATGAAAATGCTACTGATGATCAAAATAATGAGGAGACAAAATTGAACGGCCATTGTGAGGAGGAAGACACTCATGATAAAGTCCTGGACTTTTCTCACGGTCACTCACACAGTCGCTGTAATACTGTTCCTCAGACTGTGTCTGCTATTGCCTGGATGGTCATCCTTGGGGACGGGATCCACAACTTCAGTGATGGTCTTGCCGTTGGTGCAGCATTCTCCAACAGCATCACGGGAGGGATCAGCACCTCTATTGCTGTCTTCTGTCATGAGCTTCCACATGAGATCGGTGAGAAGAGATATTTATGTGTAGCTACCAGGACATTTTTTTTCAACTAACTGGATTAATTTTACATGCTCTTATCTCTTAAATTTACTTTGGGTCAGGTTTATAACATTTTTAAAGTAAATGAAGCAAAATTTGAAATATATTTTTTGAAATATTTTATTAGAATAATCGATAGTTATTATTTTTCCATGAACTCTTTCAAACTAATAAAATTTTAAATATTGACCATTCTCCAACCAAAACTTAGAGGAATATCTCACATTTGCAAAGCCCATTCTGAAGTATATGAACTTTGAGAATTTTTTTTGTATTATAGTAAAGCATTGGGTCTCTATGCTTGAAATTGAATAAAGTTCTTAGTTAATCTATTAAATGATTGTGAAGTAAATGATGCCCCCTGCTGTTGTAGGTGACTTTGCAGTCTTGTTGAGGGCTGGGATGACAGTAAAGCAGGCTATCATCTACAACTGTGTATCATCAGTACTGGGCTTTTGTGGTATGATCATTGGTGTTCTGATTGGGAACTTTGGTACCTCTACTCTCTGGATCTTTGCTGCCATTGGTGGAATCTTCCTTTACATTGCCTTTGTTGATATGGTGAGCATATTTTGGAAGATAAATAAGTGGAAAAATATGATATTAAGTTTATTGGCAAATAAATTAATAATTAAAGTTTCTAGCAATAAACAAATACGTACTGTAGATTCCTTATTTTTTGCGAGTACTTATTTTTGTGAAATGGCTCTTCGATGTCAAATTGCCGTGGACAGTTTATCAAGAGATTTTACATTGATTTTAGCACCATAAATATAAAAGCCAGTAATTTTATTTGGCTAGTGGTGCTTCTCGCGTAATTTCGCGATAATTAATTCCTCGCATATATTTAGGAATCTACAGTAATACAGTTGAACTTTGGTATCTCAAACACTAAAATCTTGAATATCATGGATATGAAGTCATTTGGAAGTCTCTATATTACTTTTTCTCTTTGTATTTTACCCTCAGTATCATGAACCCTGGTATATCTCAAAGTTTTTTTCAGTCCTATCAAGTTCGATCGAAAGAGGTTTTACTGTATTATCAGTTTGGCACTGCTGCAGAATTTTAAAAAACTTGCACTTTACATGGGCGAGTTGATATAATACTGAAAAAAGTTATCTACCCCTTAACCAATCTAATTAAAATTAGATGTTCCAAATCCGCTACCACTTCTCAAACATCTAACAACATCCCATTAGGGGTCACGTCAGAGCGACCTTTCGATTACCCAATGAAATCGCCGTCTCCGAAATGTTGACTTATAGTTTGGATGCGTTTCTTTTTTTATTGCCAAACCTAAATGCCCGAGGGGTTCCGTAGTAAACAAAATATGCATGGTAAATATATGAATGTGACGTGCGGGATATATAGTAGTTTGTGCATTTTCGTTTGCGTTATTCAGGTAAGAATGCCAGATTGGCGGACTATACATTCAATTTATACCAAAATTACTTTAATTCAACGTAAGACAGTGTACTGAGCATCATTAATGTAAAGTTGTAGTCGTGGAACTAATTTTAGAATCATATACAGAAGGTTGAATCTGATTGGCCAAAATTTTTATGTTTATTCATAATCGAAAGGTCGCTCTGACGTGACCCCTATTGGGATGTTGTTAGATGTTTGAGAAGCGGTAGAGGATTTGGAACATCTAATTTTAATTAGATTGCCCCTTAACTTGTGTTATATTGAACACATCAACTGTATAAACTTAAAAAATGTTTTCTGTAGTAAGTCATTGTTGCCAATCTCATTTTTGATGAACAGTTAATACTATTATTAGAATAGTATATGTCCATTTGTACAAGCAATATTAAGGGGGACTGACCCTCTGTTAAGAGAGATAACTTTCCAAGTAAAGAAATCCTAATAGTTTTCGTAGCTTACTTTACCAGAATTGAATAATTGAGACCTTTGAGTACTCAATTCAATCAAACCTAAAAAATGATGGAAACATTTACGGTACTTCTATTTCCTTTGCCTATACTTTTCAAATTGTTTTATTATATTTGACAAAAAAACATTTAAATCCAGATTTAAAACTTAGTCCTTAAGAATAAAGCCATTGAGAGCCTTCAATCAAGATCAGTGCCCATTGGGAAACCAATCAATTGGTTCATGACTATAAAACTGGTAAAAATGGGTATCCACACATTTGCTGTTATTCCTATTAAAATGCTGCACATCCTCTGCCCATCCGAATTGTTGTAATCTGACTTTATACATGTATGTCTCAATGATGTAGCTTATATATCATAACTTCTCACTTTTCTCTGTGAATTTTTCAGTTGCCAGAGCTGACTTCCTTGGGGACAAAGAAAGGAGAGAACCCATTCTTCCATTTATTTCTGCAGGTCTGCGGTTTGTTTACAGGGTCTGGAATTATGTTTCTGATTGCCATATTTGAACATGAACTGATGAACTTCATAGAGCCATAGTCATATCATGTCATATTTGTTTGATTCATAAATGTCCTTAGGTAGAATTTACTGCACATTTTGGGTGTTGTATTTCATAGCAAAGAATATTTTTATATCATTTTTATGCTGTTATTCAGTCATTTGGTAAACACTTCGGTACAAATATAAATTGAATTCTGGTTTATTAATTAGATGACAGGAATTTCTTTTAATGCAAATCAAAAAAGGTACATAAGAATCCAACATATCTATATTATTATTCTCTGTTAGTCCATCATTGATTGTGGTCCATAACACCTGATACATTCATATGAACAAGTTTTGACACCTTATATATGTGATCGTTGCTTTTTTAAAGCTTATAAAATGAGGATGTTTTAAAATATACTGTGATGATAGCCATTTGTAAAGAGTAAATTTCAAAAAGAAATTATAGAATATTTGACAAGATGGCTAAGTAAAGCAGGGGATTATTACAGTTTATCAAATCTGAAGAAAAATTATTAATTGATCAAGAATTATATCAAAAAAATGTAAATGAACAAATCCTTGTGACATCTTCATGTATTGCTGTTGAAAAATCCATTCATGATGATAAATATTTGTAATCTAGCCACAGAAAGTGACACTGTCTGCGAAGACTAAAATGGGCAAACTGAATTTTCTGGTAGTACACAAGTAATGCTTTACTCCCTTGCTTTATTCGGTCCTGTTAGACACTAGTCCCTGTAGAACAACCCTGGTTTTTATAAGTATGGTAGTCCCATTTCACAAATATTGATGTCCAAGTTTCAGAGAAATTTTAGATGTGTTTTTTTTTTCTTCTTTATATTTGCTTTATCAGCGCTGTTTGTTTGTTTTTTTTTTTTAAGTATTTAGAAATTTCTGAATTAAAAGAATTGTATTTAAATATGAATTATATAAGAATTATCAATTTGTATTTGAAAACAAGTTATACAAGAAACAGTTTGTATTTGAATACAAGTTATACACAGAACATTAATGTTAGATGAACCATGTGTTCTATAAGAACATGTGCCAGATTTCAAAGTATAGGGTACATTGAATTATAGTTATATACAAATTTTGTCAATAATTATGAGAAAAATTTGATTAATCTCATCGCTACTCACTGGATTCAAACATGTGAGAAAAGTTACTGTAAACCAACTATTATTCACGTCATCTTTTACTCATCATTTTGAAATTTATCCGCGAGGATTAATTTTCACGACTCAGAAAATACAAAGCAAAATAAATGGATCATGGCAATTAATATTCGCGAGTTAAAGTAGGTCGCGAATATATCTCGCACGCGAATAAAAGTTGGTTTACAGTATTAGAGTTGTGGCCCATCGCTTATTTTTCTGAAGAAACAGTCAGTGACAAGGATAGAAATAATCTCTTTTCACTTGTTGTATGTTCATTCATTTTGTGGCTTTGCACATCATTTTACTCTCAAATCCCATTACGACCAAAAAATAAATCTTTAATAATTTCTTAGTAGATAAAAAAAAAAAGAAATGTATTTTGATTTATACTTAACTTACTTACTATTAAGCATAATATACCACAACAATTTTTCACAGTAGTTTTTAAATGCCCCCCACCCCCTTTCCCGTCATTGGAAGACAGAGATCTGATAGAGATTCAGAAATTCTGAATATTTATTGTTTTTCAAACAACCAATGTCATTTGTTTACATAATTATAAGAAAAATATAAGTTCTTTATGGTAGGCATTGTTTATTTTATATATAGATAATTATGCAGTTGACAAATTACAATTTATTTTTACATATCTGACAAGTAATTCAAACTTTGCAAAGAAGTGGATTAATTTACAATTCTTTTAAAAAAATTTACTGTTAGCACAATAGATAAATAATTTTTGGATCTTTTTTCTGTTATGAGTTATTTTCTAAGCTTTATTGATGTTTGATTTTTAAGATAACTGATGTGAATAATATGCATAAACACATGGAATCAGATAATTTATAAGTAAATTGAAATCTGTCAAAATAAATTTATAGAAATATTTGTCGATAAGTTGTATCTGTATGGGAAATGGTGATGCCTATGTTGTACATGTAGAAACAGGTGGGTTTTTTTAAATTCCAAAATGAGTATGTATATCAATCATGTGCTTGAAAATATGTTTTTACATCTCGTATTTTCAAGGCATTATATGAACAAAAGCAAATTATGACTGATTTATAAAATAAGTTTGCCTCTGATATGAAAATCACTGCTGAAATAATGAGGTTGCACACGTGGAATGTTTTTTTTTTTTTTTTAAATAAAACTAGAATTACACGTGCACAAACCATGTGTTTTCTGTCTGCTTTCATCATTGTGCCAAAGTGAGGATTGCATATGAATTGTACCTTTTCAATTCCCTCTTATTATGACCCAAGATGTGTTTGTGAAACACTGATGCCCCCTTATGGTAGCTAATAGTGAAGGTTAAAGTTTCTCAAATGCAGTTCAAACTCCAAGGTCAAGGATGAGAGATAAAAAATGTTGGTACTCAAAGAAAGGTTTTGTCGCAAGGAGTAACCCTGTGAAATATGAAAGTCATAGCTACCATTCAGAGATTAGGATCAAGGTTAAAGTTTCTCAAAAGTAATTGAAACTCCCAAGTTCAACATAGGAGGTGAAATTATTGGCACTGAATAAAAGACCTTATCACAAGGAATACACCTGTGAAATATGAAAACCCTAGCACCAACTGTTCAAAAGATATAGCCAAAGCACCAAGCGTTCAAAGGTTATGGTCAAGGTTTTTCAAAAGTAAGTCAAAATTTATTGGTACCCAAGGAAAGGACTTGTCACAAGGAATACAAATGAAATAGGAAGATAACGAACAGTTATCAAGCTCAAAAGTCTATTAAAACTATAAAAATTTGGAGCAGAGCAAACACGGGCCTCTAAAAACATCAGAGGTGGGATCAGGAGCCATGGAAGAGTAAGCATCCGCTGTCGACCGATCACAACCGCCATACGCTCTTTGTCATGATCGGGTAAATGGAAAAAAATCTGTAGACAATCCATTGTATAGATAATGGTCTAACAATGAAAAACGCTAATACCGATAGATTGTATTTGTTGACAAGGTCATTGTATCGATCATAGAATTTGCGAAATGTTGACTTTAAACGAGACAGTTGTTATCCTTGTTTCATAAACTTATTTGTCAATAGCTTGCCTCGTTTCAGAAATTGTTCTTACATAGAGTATTCTCTCAACTTGGAGACATTAACTCCATATGCAGGTGATAATGATATACATGTATAAGGCTTCATAAATAAGGGAATCTGACGAAAGAATAGTTGAAATCATCACGTTTATCATAAAGTCTTTTTCTAGTAAAATATCCAAATATGAAACAGATGTGTCAGACTCTGTGGTATCTTTTATCTCGAGTTCAAAAGGTATATCGAATCAATGTAGGAAGGAAAATGAATATTGTTCATAAATGTCGTCGATATATCTAGTTTTTGAATAAATTCTACTTCACATGAAAACAGAAAAAGGTCTACGAAAGCCATAGCACCAACCACTCAAAAGATAATGCCAAGGTTAAAGTTTTGAAAAAGATGTCAAACTCCAAGATCAAGGTCAAAAGATAAAAGTTGTTGGTACAAAGGAAAGGCCTTGTCACAAGAAATACACATGTGAAATATGAAAACCCTAGCACCAGTTGTTCAAAAGATAAAGCCAAGGTTAATTCGTTTCTAAAGTAGGCCAAATTCCAAGGCCAAGGTCAAGGAGTCAAAATGGATGGTGCCCAAGGGAAGGTACTGTCACAAGAAATATGCATATGAAATATTAAAGCCCTAGCACCAAGCATCCAAAAGTTACGGCCAAGAATAAAGTTTTTCAAAAGTATGTCAAGCACCAAAGCCAAGGATAAAAGCTATAGCTGCAACTGTTCAAAACACTTGACCTTGGTTAAAGGTTTTCAAACATGGGTCAAATTCCAAAGTCAAAGGGTAAAAATAAATGTTACTTAAGGGAAAATCTTGTCACAAGGAATATACCTGTAAAATATGAAAGCCCTAGCCCTAGCTGTTCCAAAGTTATGTCAAAGGTTAAAGTTTTTCTTAAGTAAATCGAACTCAAAGGTCAAAGTCAAAGGGTCAAAATTGTTGGTACTCAAGGAAAGGTCTTGTCACAAAAATATACATGTAAAGTATGAAAACCCTAGCACCAATCTTTCAAAAGTTATGGCCAAGATTTAAGTTTGGTAAAATTTTGCAAAAGTGGGTCTAACTTTAAGGGCAAGATCAAGAGGTCAAATATAATGGTACCCAAAGAAAGAACTTGTCACAAGAAATGCGTTTGTGAAATAACGCCATAGCTCCAACCAATCAAAAGTTACTGGCAAGGTTAATGTTGTTTGCGGACAAACAAACAGATAAACAGACAGATAGAAGGACGGACGGAGAGAGCAAACCTTTATGCCTCCAAATCTTCGATTACGGGGGCCTAAAAAGTAAGGTATTCTAAATTATATCTGTCCTCTTTATATCTATAACCATTGGACTTTTGCGAGAAGCGCTGATTTTTACAGTCGACGTTGATGATTGACTTATTTCCATTCCCACTGAAGCTGAAGCAGTGACCCTTATGAGAAAAATACAACTTGAACTACCACTGAAAGACAACGGAAATATTCGTCTTTAAAAAATCATTTCAAACAGTGTAAAAGTAATGAAATCATTTCTACAGACGACCTAGGAAATGACCTAAAAGAACTGAATCATTGTGCAGACATGTGCAACTTGTTCAACACAGTTTAGGAATGTTGTGGGACTTGAACAGTGATATGTGTGTGTTCAAAATCTCTTATGCAGAGAAATCTTGTACTCGAAGAGGTCTTTTATCTACACTAAGTGTGTTTGATCCAGTGTATTTCTCCAGCAACAATCAGTGGATAGTTTCTGCATCATGAACTTGTACTTCCTGGATGTGACTTGGATTAACCGCTTCCAGAGGAACACTTAAAAAAAAAGCAAAAACTGGCTATATTCTTTACACTGTGAACGAGAAAAGACTTCCTCGGATGATCGTGTATAAATCCATGTCACAGGCACATTGCTTGGATATCCTTGTGTTCTCTGATGCATCAGAACACGCGGTCGCTGCAGTTGCATATCCCCGAATCACTGACAGATGAGAAGTTTCTATTGGATTCCTTTGGGAAAATCTAAGCTGGCACCTCTTAAAGGTCACACCATACAGATACTGGACTTATGTTCCGCTGTCCTGGCCTCAGAGGTAGGAAAAGCAGTATGTGATTATTTGAACATTCCACAAGATCAGTTTCATTACTTCACTGATAGCAGAACTGTGTTAGGATACATCTGCAATAACACCTGCAGATTTTTTGTAATTTTTTTTTCAAACCGTGTAAAAAAAATTCACAGTTTCATCTCTATCTCAGTGGTCCTATGTCTCAATAGATAAAACCCAGCAGGTATAGCAACGAGATATTCACATACAGCATTGACAACATCTCTATAACAATGGATAACTGACCCCAATGGTTGAGAAATGTCCCAGAGGAACCCGAGACTGTTTAGGCCAAATAAAAAAATACGTGTGGTTCCGGTTACCCGACCTTCCCTATTTTATACCCCCGACCCTAAACTTTTTTTTGGCAATTTTCATATTTTTTCCGGAATTTTCCCCGATTTCCATCAATGGCTCCGGTTTAAGTTTTAGTTTCAGCAATGACAGCCTCCTTGCAAAACATAGTGCAAGTGTTTAATAGTATTAAGTCCAAAGCAAGCTAGCATGTAGGTGTCCCCTACCAATATTGACTAGTATATTATAACATCACATCTAAATGCCATTTGCAAAGCAGTGATAGGTATTATTTAGAAAAATTAAGAAAATCATTTTGTTAAAAAAAAAATCCCTACCTACCTACCCTAATTTTTTTGGAAGTGTAACCGGAACCACACATATTTTTTTGTTTGGCCTTATCCCCTCATCGAGCCAGAAAGTGACAAGAAATTCGTCAAAAATTGTGTCGGGCAACACTCTAATTGCAACTGAAATTTTGGACCTGAGTTTTAGTAAATTTTCTACCTGGTCCAGTCGTGTTAAAGCTATTGTGACTATGAGACGTTTCATTAAAAGCAAATCTGTGAAACCAAAGAAGAACCAGAATTATGCAAAAATACAGAAATGTTCATCATTCAACTGGTTCAGCAAGAGTCCTACTGTAGAGAAATTGAGAACCTAAAGAGTGACAACCATAAACCAAGAGATAGCAAAGTGTCAAGACTAGACCCCTTCCTTGTTTTATCAAGAGTTCTGGCTAAAGCAAAGCTCAGAATTATTACTGGGAGAGAAGAACCTAATCATCATACCATCACCATATTGTGAAATTTCTAGTGCTTCATTACCATAAAATTATTCGTCATCAGGGACGTCATCTTACTACTGGAGCTATCAGAGGTGTAAACGACTGGTTTATTCCATTTTATCTGTTAGTGTAAAATGTTGCAGACTTCTTGACAACTTTGTTTCCAAAAAGCTGGCAGACTTACCAGAGGAACGACTGACTTCTTGCCCACCGTTTACTTATGTTGGCGTCGACTGCTTCGGACCCTGGAATGTTGTCACCCGACATACATGTTGTGGTTCTGCTAATTCCAAATGATGGGATGTGTTGTTTACATGTTTATCTTGTCGTGGTGTTCATTTAGAAGTAATCGAAGAAATGAACACATCCTCATTTATTAACGCCTTGCGTCGACTCACATCAATCAGAGACGAAGTTAAAGAATTCTATTCAGATAGGAAGACCAATTTTATTGGTGGAACTAGTGAACTTGGAATGGACGCCATTTTCGTGGAAGACTTCTCAATGAAATCCTTCCTAAAACAACAAGGGGCAATTTGGAAGTTCAACAAACTTTTCTCCTCTCATATGGGAGACGCTTGGGGCGCTTAATTGGTGTTAGCCTGGTCATTGATTCCGTTCTACTAGATGCCAAGCACACCAAACTCACTCTTGATGTCCTTTGAATTATATGGCCGAAACGACAGCAATATTGAACGAACATCCATTGGTACCAGAAACCACAGACCCAGAAGGACCTTGCACTCCAGCAGTTTTGCTTGCGCAAAAAAAAAATGATATTGAAATAAAATAAAATAAATAAATATTGTGGAATCACTAATTTTCGGGAGGGAGGTGGTGTTGGTGGTAATTTTTTGTCGTTTTCAAGGTATGAAAAGACCCACAAATTCATATCCACTACGAAATATAAAATGTCATAAATTATACATAACTACTCAAGAATAATA